CCCCCCTATAAAATTTTTATGGCGTTAAGTTTGGTGTTTGGGCGCAGCGCCTGTCCTAGCCGTAGCATTCGGTCCACAAGTCTGTTCTATCCTCAGTGGAAATTACACTAACATGACCCTGAACAACCTAATAACATAGTTGCGGCTTAAAATTTATTATTTTAGATAGATGCTGCAGAACAGGCTCGTAAGAAGGATCAGGATGGAAGAACTTTATACGTCAGGTTCATTGGGGAACAACTACCTACGTCACAAGATGAAATAAAGGTTAGTTCTCGTTTGTCCAGTATCCCCTGCTAATAACTACTGCATTTTAAGTTATTATAACTAACCATATTCTTGTCAGAGTTAAAATTAGAATATTTTTATGAAAAATATCGCATGTCTGAAACCGGATCTGGGTTCATCTTGTCTGGGGCGAATCCAAGATCCGGATCTAATTAAAATATATATTTAGCACTGCATACGGTAGCAATTAAGTTTTATAATATTTATTTTCAGGAATTGCATTCTGATATAAAGTTTGTACGTACACCTCGAACAGCAGGGAAGAAGAAAGATGATCAGGTAGGACAGACTTAAAATAAATTCCCCCTTCTTCGAGGTTTAGTTCGTCTACAAGGATATTGTTCACTCACAGGGGTGTATATTTTTAAGATTTACCTCTCTTCCAAATATTTTTAGAAGTTCTCTGGGATGGATTTATCAAATTTAACAATAAAATGAAAGATTGTTTGCTTTTCCTACTGTAAACCTGAAAATATACTGACTGTTATTTTTCATTTTCACCCTTGTATTATTATCATTACGGGTTCGTTCCTGATCATGTTATTTATGATACATATAAATCATGGGAAATTAAGAAATATAGCTCATCACTCTGAAATTTAGTGAAACCCATATCAGCTAGTTTTCTAAGTTGTTCAAAGAGAGGGGGGGGGAACTTTTTTTTTAATAAGGGTTCTCTGACTAAACTGGAAGCTGTAGATTTTTAGGTTGATCATTATTTCTTCGAAACTTCAGATGTTAGCATTAAACATGGTTCGTCGGGTTTTATCGTAATATGGGGGCAGGGAAGCGCCCCCCCCCCCCCCNCCCCCCCCGGAACCCAGGTAGGGTTAAAAAAAATAATGAAAATGTTCTCGTTTTAGAAATTATACAAATATGCCTTCCTTGAGTTTTCTAACGAGGAGGAGTGTATCAAAGCCAAGAATAAGCTTGCAACTACAAGGTGAACTGAAGATACCTTTATAAATGATTGCAGCATTGCTTGTACTTGTATAACTACTGTACTGTGTACATCATTGTACTGTCTACATCATTGTACTGTGTACATCATTGTACTGTGTACATCATTGTACTGTGTACATCATTGTACTGTGTACTTATTTTACCATTGTACTGTGTACTTATTTTACCATTGTACTGTGTACTTATTTTACCATTGTACTGTATTTAGTTTTACCATTGTATTGTACTTGTACAATTAGTCATTGTACTGTGAACCTATTATACCATTTTACTTTGTACTTGAAATCATTTTACTTGTACTGTAAACTCACTTCTTCCTTGTGAGCACAGTCATTTTACCTATTCTACAATGTTTCCTTATTGTTGTAATTAGCTAGCTTACTGGATTTAGTTTTATAATTGGGACTTTTTCCCTTCCCCTGCCCTAGTAACAAGGGGAGTCAACTACTAGAAATAGCATTGTTCCCCCCCCCCTCATTATTGTTAAGAATTTCCTTTCTCGTAGGAGGGTTGAACATTTTTACTGCTTTAATTGCAAACTAGCCATTTTGCCACTAAATACTTTTTCTCCTTTTTTTTCTTTTTCTTGAATTTTCTTCCTGTTTTTAATTTTACAAATTGGAATTTAATATTTCATCTTTTAGGTTCAAAGGTTCGGAACTTTTCCTTGACTTTGTCGGCGAGAAATCCCGCAGTTACAAGAAGGAAGAGAAAGCTCAGAAGTTAAATCCATGTCGATTGTTCGTCTGTGGGTTAGCTCCTGGTGTAACTAAGGTATGAAAAAGTCTTTAAGAATATATCTACTATCTACCCTTCTCACATGAAAATTAATGTTAATATAATAATTTTGATCATAATTGTTTTACGAACGAACCAACACCATGATTCCGCCGTTATTAACTGGCATTTCAGATTGCAATTCCCTAAAAGGGACTAAATTCGTTATTACAATTGATACTCCATTTATAGCGAAACAAGTTTGAGTTTATTATATGTTGGTTCTTAGGAAACGGATTTATGGCACTTATTTAAATCGTGACATGTTTATCTCATAAAATTTTCTTTTTATGATTATCATTAAACTCTCTCTCAAAGGAGCTGTAGGTGGTATGAAGGTGAAACTTAAATTGATAAATTTTGTATAGGGTGCGCTGAAAGAAATGTTCCCTAAATGCTCCCACGCTGAGATACCGAGCCAGTCTGCTAAGAAAGGGACACCCTTCGGCTTTGTGCAGTTTTCTTCAGCAGGAGATGCTAAGGAATGACGCCATATTTTATCAAATGCCTTATAAACAAAATTTCACAAAGAGATTTTACATTGCTTATGATCTAGATCAATAAACCTGGACATTCACTCGGTTAAAATATTACCCCCCCTCTTCATTCATCAACCTTTTTTTTCTCCAGTTCATGTTAAGAATTAAAATAATACAGTTGGGTGGGTTTCTTACTTGAGATTTATGTGAAAAATTCATGTTTTTGTTGGCTAAAAGTATTCAAACGAAAGTAAGAAGTTACTACTTGAAGTCGACAATTGTTTCATGTTCTTCCCATTCTTCGAAACCCTTTCCTTTTCTTAACGACAATTTTTAATCTTGAACGAAATTTTTTTTAATTTTTGCTGATAAATTATGGGTTTGCTTAGTCTGCGTTTGATGCTGCTCAAAACCTGGACATTGCTGGACACAAGATCACTGTCTTGTATGCCAAGGTTTCTGAGGATAAGGACAAGATCATTGAGCATAAAGCCAAGAAGAGGAAAGCGGCAGACAAGAAGAAGGCTGAGAAGAAAAAGGCGAAGATAGCTGATACAGCTGAAACTGCTGCACAAGCTTCTGATTCAGATGACGACGAGGATGAGGATGAAGAGGATAAAGAAGAACAAGAGGAAGTTAAATTCAATCCTAAGAAGAAAGGTTCTGCTGCTCCTGTTGCGGATGCAGAGGCAGACACCGAAGAAGAGGATGATGAAAATGATGATGATGAAAATGATGATGATGAAAATGATGATGATAACGATGAAGATGATAACGATGAAGATGATGATGATGATGATGAATTTGAAGATGCTGAGAATACTCTTGGAGATGATGCCGCTGGCGATGATGACGACGACGACGATGATGACGATGATGATGAATAAGATCAATCCACTAATTTCTCCATTCGTATTCTGTACCTGTACTTATTTGTTTGAATTTTCATTTATTTGCCTTGTTAATAATTTGATTATTTTCAGAAGAAACTCATCTAGGAACTCAACATGTCTGATGTAGAGGGAGATGATGTCCCCGTCGCCGCCGCCCCCGTCGTCGCAAGCGGTCCCATGGACATCAACACCGCCATCGCTGAGGTTCTGAAGCAGGCGCTTATCGCCGATGGGCTAGCCAGAGGTCTCCGAGAAGCTGCTAAGGTATTTTAATTGATATTTAAACTCCATTTTATAGTGTTAAGTCCGATACACAATGCTTAGTCTGTCTAAAATATTTTATATAACAAAACTGTAAAAACGTTTTCTTCCACACTATGAATAAGATTAAAGTTGAAAGGGTACCGTTGTGAATATCCCTCTTTAAAAATACAATTGTATCTTTCAGTCTTGATGTGACTTGTTTCTACTTAATTATTATAAAAATATTTTAAGTTAGAGAAATTCTTAGAAGGTTAATTTAAATTAATTAATATCGTAATTTTTACGTAGTTTTTTGGGGTTAATTCTAAATTTGTTCATTAAAGACTTATTTTAGGGAAAAAGTACTTCAATAATTCAATTTTTTTTTTTTTCATTCTTGAAAAATTGTTTCCTCCTCTTTCCCTTCAAAATTTTCCTTGGAAGATGGGAATGTGTTACGAGGGTTTTATACGTTAAATAGGGGATACTTATTACTAAATGATTTTTAGGGAGAAAAAAATAGTTGTTGGTTCAAAGGTTTTAATGAGGACAAAAAAATGTACGTTTTTTCTCTCACCCCAAAACATTTAAAATAATATCTCGCGGAAGTGGGGGGGGGGGGGGAGATCTCGAAATTTTTCACCTGTCCCATACTTTGGACCATCTAGAAATTAATATTATTCAATGTTTTTAGGCTCTGGATAAAAGACAGGCCCTGCTGTGTGTTCTATCTGAGAACTGCGATGAACCAATGTACAAGAAGTTGGTTACAGCTCTCTGCTTGGAGCACAACATCCCTCTAATCAAGGTAATTTTCAAGAGGTGGACGCCAATGCTTAGGATCCTTTTATATTGATTCTGGATCCACCCTGAGCCCGCGATTTAAAAACTTTGGCTCGAGTCGTAATTCCTTAAACCCGACTGTAAGACCCAATCTTTGACCCAACAATGAGGACAGCTTGTGTCACGTGATTGACAGCTTTAAGATTTCGGCTCGACTTGCGGAGTTAGGCCCAATGAAAATGAAATTGGCTTTGCTGGTTTTAGTAGCTCAATGTTGATCTTGTTCTCATAAAAACCGGGAATCCGCCAATTCCTTCCATGAAAATAAGATGCAGCTTGAATCCAAAAGCTCAAGCTATAAATAAGGCCCAACGACAGCAAAGACACCAAGCCGTATTTTCCCGAGTTTTTAAATCGCGGGCTCTGAAGTAATGGATCCGGATCCAAATCCAGGCCATGAACGATGATTTGCTGTTTTTTTCAAAAGAACTTGCAAACTCTTTTCCCCTTATTTTTACGCTTAAATTCAATTAATCTATAAGAAATAAGAAATTATTGGTCTTAATTTTAACAGTTCAGATATGGGTTTGAGAAAAAAGTGTTGTTTTAAGATATGTGTGACGATTATTTAGTTTCTAATGGCCACAGTAGAGTCTGTTTTAAAATCTGAATCCAGTTTTCACTCTTTTCGCTATTCATTTAATCCGTCGTAGGTTTTGTTACCTTGATCCAATGTAGCTGGACCAGAACGCTTAATATTAAAATAGTATTGGAATTTTCTGAGGTCAAAATCTCGCTGTAATGTCACGTTTTTCTATGCCTGTCTTTTTGCTCACATTGTACACTCGCACATTTCCTAACAATTAAAACGAGGATTATACAAATTTCAATAAAATGTTTAAAGGATTTGAGTCTTTACCACAAACTCTGATTTTCTATTCCTTATATCTTTTTATTACAATGACTTAGACCTTAGATATTTCAAACTTTGAATTGCGGTAAAACAAATAATCCAAGTTTAAAATATCTTCCGGTTTCCGAAATAAAGGGATCAGAAAATTTAATTTTGTGGCAAAAACTCAATTCCTTTTTCTTGAAAAAAAGATTAAGAAAGTTTAACTCCGTGTTATATTCTAAATCGATATTAAGTTCTTGTTTGTATCAGGTTGACTCTAACATGAAGCTTGGTGAATGGGCTGGTCTCTGCAAGATCGACCAGGAGGGAAACGCCAGGAAGGTCGTGAAGTGCTCCTGTGCCGTAGTCAGAAACTGGGGACAGGAGACTCCTGCTCATGACGTTCTTCAGGTTTGTTCTTGATATTTTAAAGGGACTGTTATAGACATAATTATAAACAATTCAATTTATACAGAACCATGACCGATTAACGAGGGTTGTATTTAAATCATTGTCTGAGTAAAATTATGGGATTTATTCTCATTTGCAGTTTTCTGCAAACTAAAGCTTGCGCCCATTTGTCAAGCGAGAAAAAATGAAATATTCAGAATTTAACACTTCAAGAAAAAGCATCATACTATAAGTATAAAATTTAGAGAAAGGAAAAATAAATGATTTATATTCAAGAAAATATGTAACAGTAAATCCAACATGTCTGCCTTTATAAATGGAGTCACTCGTGAATTCTTGTACAACTTTAAGTCATGACTGTTAAAATGGGGAGTAATTCCAGAAAAATTTAAATCCATTAGTGTTACTTTTTTTCCGGGTCATGTGTTAAAAATTGGAAATTTAAATTATTTTCACCGCTTGCATCAGGAAATAATATGCGGTAATTTGTTGTTGCATTTTTAATTAATATTTGCCGATATCTAGTATATATTGGCGTGCTCTAAAGAATTATTAAAAAATACGCTTAAAATGTTAATAATATTTTAATTATTTTTCAGGAATATTTGAAGTCTCAGCGTTGAAAGAACTCTGTGCTGCGGCGTGGACAAGAATTATGTTATTGTATTGTTAAAGACAATAAATTCTTGTAAAACCATAAATATCTTTTCTGATTCTTTCAGATATAATGGAGAAAGCTAGTGTGAATAAGATACTTGTCAGGCAGGATATTCTTAACCATTCTGAAGAAGATTTGAGGATTTACTTTATGTCGAATTGCGAATTTTCTTAAATTTTGGCTGGTTATTGACATATGGTTCTCGTGAAGAGTTAGTGACAGTACATCAGAGTTGGGAACTTTTGTGTTTGATAATCAAAATCCCGATATCCAGTGGACAACTTTTATTTGAGTATAAATGGTTGATGTTATCATTTTAGTTAACATCTCGGGGATAAGTACAGAACGGATCAAATAAAGATTAAATTAATCTGAAGACTAACAGGAGATCGCGTTCAAGTACTGATTTCTTAATCCACAATACAAAAGTTTCCAGCTCTGAACTGGTATATAACTTTTCAATTGTGTTATGGTATCATATATGCCTCGGGTGGATTTAAGAAAATTTTAATAGTAGTAGCTTTTTCATGCTGGCATAGCGACTTGGCCAATGTATAGTACAGTGATATTCACAATAGTTGAGAATAAAACTATTACTTTGAACACTTCGAGTTTTATTCTTATTTTCTTATCGTTACGCTGATGTTGGCTTTGAAAATTGTCTTATTTTGTATTTTTTTTTTTGGCAAAGATTGCAAAAAGTTTATTAGTCTCTTTTTTTGTTAACTTGCACACTACAGTTTGCACTGAAATCAATATTGGTGCATAAAATTTTATTTGGACTAACAAATTTAAATTTTATATTGCTTATCAATTAGTCTAAATGGAGTGAAAATTGGTTTCTAACATGTGGTTTTTCCTGAGCGTTTATCGCCTAAATAGTCTCATTTGTGCAAATGTGCATGCAATCAAATGCGTCAAATTGTTTTTAAAAAGTGGGTTGTCTGGAGTGGTAATAATTTAATATTGTCAAAAATTCTTATTTTTTATCTAGTTTGCGACCCTGTATAGTTCAAGCACGTGTTCATATTATCCATCATCTTACAAACACAATCAAGGAATAGTGCAGAAGAGTTTTTATATTTTTCAATCTTTCTTTTTCTAAATGTTGTTCTCAAAAAGGTACTGAAGCATTGATCTCCATCTTTTTTAATTCCTTTCCCGATATCCCGCGTTGGTCATACCCGATAGGGATAACTTGATTAAGGGGTCAAGGATTTATCCTCACATTTAAGATTTCAAGATTAAGCTTTCAAGATTTAACGATAGTCCACTCATAAGTTCTGACCTCAGTTCATTAATTCTTGTTAATATCATGAAAATTAAATTAATTAGATAATTTCTTTAATTTGAATTCCTGAAAAATCAAACTTATTTCATAAAACCTTGTTTTTAAATTATTTATTTATTTTATCTCATTGCAGTAAACTTTCTTCCAACTTTGCTTGCTTCCGATTCCATTAATTTAATAAATCAAGTCTAACTTTAATTAAAAGTTTCTTGTATAAGAAGATTCTATCTGACAATGAACAATTAATGAATTAAATTAATTCGAACGCTAATTAAAAATTTCCAGTAAAATAGAATTTTGACAGATTTAATTGTTTACCAATAGATCCTTTTTTCTGTCAAAAAACTTTGCAAAAAATAATGCAGAATCCCAGATATATAAATACATAGACCGTCATAAGTTTATTGATAATTTTAAAAAAACTTCTTTTTATTTTTAATTCTAGGTAAATTAATAGCCCTGAAATATGAATTCAATCAATATTTTAATATTTAACTCATTTTTCCGCGGCATTTGATCTTAAATATGTAATACGACATTATATTAACTCTTGCTATGTATTCATATATCTGGGATTCACTTTATTAGACATAAATAGCCCAATCGGGCTAGGGTTGATATTTAGAGTTGACCCACTGGCGCTGGGACGATTTATTATTCTCTTCTGAATCTATTAATTAATAGAGATTGAAAGACAGGAAAACTAAGACTGAGGAGCAGAAAATTGAGAATGAAAGGTTGGACTTTAAAATTCTTATGTTATGAGTAATTTTTTTTAAAACTTTAACCCCGTATTAGACTAAAGCAAAAGCAAAATCTTGATAAAAGAAAAAGTTGTCGGAAACGAATCAGAATCAATTAAAAAACTGTTTCAGGAAGATTAAGAGGTTTGTTGATGAAATCCTTTTCATCAAGAAAGTGAACAAGGATATAGTAGGTAAGTCTGATTCAAACAGTGCTATGGATCCGGTTCCGTTGGATCCGCAACATTTCATGGCTTCCATGAATCCGGATCCAAGGGGCAAAATATTAAGAACTAAAAAAACCTTATGCTCTCTAAACCCAAGTCTGAACTGTTGTAAAAATGATTCGTCAGGTTTTAGCATAAAAATTCTTTTGTTAGACAAAATCAATAAGCTAGATTTTTTATTTTAGCCAAGTTTCTTCTGACAAATACAATAAGTTTACTAGTTATATTTTAGCCAATTTTGAGCTTACAATTAGTTGAGCATTTAAGATAATTTTGCCAAGCTCACGCTGACAAATATGATGAGCTTACAAATTATATTCAAGCCAAGGTTTTTAGGGGCAACTCAATGAGATTATACATTATATTTTAGCCAATTATGTGCTGACAAATATTATAAGCCTACAAGTTATATTTTAGCCAAGTTTCTGCTGACAAATACGATTAGTTTACTAGTTATATTTTAGCCAATTATATGCTGACAACTATAAGCCTGCAAGTTATGTTTTAGCCAAGTTTATGCTCACAATAGTTGAGAATAAAACTATTACTTTGAACACTTCGAGTTTTATTCTTATTTTCTTATCGTTACGCTGATGTTGGCTTTGAAAATTGTCTTATTTTGTATTTTTTTTTTTGGCAAAGATTGCAAAAAGTTTATTAGTCTCTNGATGAATGGATATATTTTTATCACTAATCAATTCTTTATAATAACTTATCAATTGGATTATTTAAATTATCAGAGGTCAACTTGTTGGAAATGATGGAATCAAGAAGTTATCTGTTTTCTGTACAGTCTCAAGTATTTTCCCAAACAGTCTGAACTCTACAAGAAAGTGAATCTACGCTGTAGATTAACGCGATTTCACACTTAAGCTTTTACCTCTGAACAGATTATCTGATAAACCTTTAATTAAAACTATTTATTTAACTTTTTCGATCCAATAAATATTTCTAAAAATTTTACTTTTCGTTGTTGTACATTTTTACTGTTCAACGTGCATATTTTTACTCAACTCAAGACGGAATTAACAGCAGAAATTTGTTAAATTTGATTTTTTTTTAACAAATTAATTGTGTTTTATTTTAGATGCGGGCTTTTATCCGGTTATGTGATCATAAATTTGTGAATGTCAAGATAAAAAAATTCAGGGAAAAAAATATTATTTTGAGTTTCTAGTTTTAATAAGAAAATTGAAAGTATTTAAAAAGTAGAAAAAATTTAGTTTGGTTTAAAATATTTTTCATTAAAGAGAAGAGAACCCAGATTGGAATGATAAACTGCACAAAATAATTTACACCCTGGGGAAGCAAACCCAGGCAAAGAAGATGAAGTTGGATAAAAACAAGATGGGCGCCGGGAAGAAAAAGCCCCCAAAAAAAGATGACAAGGATGAAGAAACCATGAAGGACGAGGAAAATACAGTCAGTGACGATGATGACGAAGAAAACGAACCGCAAGAAGAAAAGGGCGTTAAAAAGGTCAAAAGAAAGAAAACAGAGGAACATACCGAGGTTTCTGACAGTGAAGAAATGGAGGAAGCAGAAGATGACGATCAAGCTGAAAACAAGGACAACGTTGAACACGAAAACGAATATGAAGAAGAGAGTGTCGAAGATGAAGACGAGGGTGTCGAAGAAGACGAAGAAACAAACGTTGAGCAAAACTCCGATGATGACCTTGAATACCTTGAAGCAATGGAAGCTAACTTGAAAAAGGATGACTCTGAATCTGAAAATAACTCAGATGAAGAGTTGTTCATCAGCTCCCTAAAGTCTTCGTTGCTTTCAGTAAATCCTTCCGAATCTTCCAATAAAACAAAACAACAAGAATTGGCGGGAAAATTAGAATCTGCTTCTAGAGATAAGTTTAAAAACGTTGAAAAAAAGAAAGGAAGCTGTCTTGTTAAAGTTTTAAATTTAAAAGGTAAACACATTAAGAATAGTTTAAATTTTTGTTTTTATTAGACGAGGAAAGGACCTTTTTGAAGTGACCTGCCATTTACATTTTACAACGGTACAATTTAACGCTTTGTTGGATCAACAAGTGTTTAATTCTAAAATGTCTTTTATTGTCTCTGATTCACAAATCCACATTCCGCAAGTCAGTTATGCTGAGAAAGAGCAACTGAAAATTATGAATTTTTAGAAAAAAACGATTAAATCTCTTTTCTGCCAAGGCTGCTGTTGTGAAGTGTGCATACAATGCTTTAAATAAAGGGTCCCCTTAAAATTCCTTTTCCAGTCCCTTTAATTTTGCATTTAAATAACGTTTACAATCCCTTTAATTTTGCATTTAAAAAACGTTTACAATTCCTTTAATTTTGTATTTAAATAATGTTTACAATTCCTTTAATTTTGCATTTAAAAAACGTTTACAATTTCTTCAATATTGTTTTTTAATAACGTTTACAATTCCGTTAATTTTGCATTTAAATAACGTTTACAATTCCTTTAATTTTGTATTTAAATAATGTTTACAATTCCTTTAATTTTGCATTTAAATAACGTTTACAATTCCTTTAATTTTGTATTTAAATAACGTTTACAATTCCTTTAATTTTACATTTAAATAACTTTTACAATCCTTTAATTTTGCATTGAAATAACGTTTACAATTCCTTTAATTTTTTATTCAAATTACGTTTACAATTCCTTTAATTTTGCATTTAAATAACGTTTACAATTCCTTTAATTTTGTATTCAAATTACGTTTACAATTCCTTTAATTTTTCATGTAAATAACGTTTACAATTCCTTTAATTATGTATTCAAATTACGTTTACAATTCCTTTAATTTTGCATTTAAATAATGTTTACAATTCCTTTAATTTTGTATTTAAATTACGTTTACAGTCCCTTTAACTTTAGAACCTTTTGAGGATGGTTCCGAAGAAGAAGCAGAATCAGAATCAGATGAGGAAGATGAGGATGAAGATGGGTCCGGAGAAGAGGTGGAAGAAGAGGATGAAGGAAGTGAGGAAGATGAAGACAAAGTTGAAGATAAAGATAAAAAGAAGATTCCAAAGAGATCTTCCTTCTTCCTGGGCGGGGAAAGTGATGAAGAGAACGACGCTGAAGAAGATGAAGATGATGAGACACATATTCGAAGGAAAACATTTTCTTGAGATTTCGGAAGAATTATTTTTTAATATGATTTTTGAAACTTCTAAACTTTAAACTGACCCCCCCCAAATCATTATTTTCCCAAAAGTTATTCAACAATGAATTAAAAAATTTCCAATGTTCTCACGGATTTTTTTTACTGTACTGGAGATAAAATTACGTTGACCAGTGGTAGGCGAAATTTTTTAACAAATAGCTCTGTAAGTTCTAAAATGTAAATTATTTTATAAATCAGTGGTGTTCAAAGTCATTTTGATTTTTATCCCTTTCATTAAATTTCTTTAATATACATACGTCGCAGTAGAAATAATTTAGAATTTACAGCTTACAAAATGAAATTATAATCTCAAGCAAATTTCTAGGGAACACGAGGAGAACACATTTATTGATCCTCGAGAGCGGGCAAATGAACGCGGTGTAGGACGGGGAGGCTCTATAGGCCGGGGAAGCTGGAATGGAGGACAAGGTCGAGGTTTCAATGAGCGAGGTCGAGGTGGGGTTGAGAGAGGACGTGGGAGAGGAGGAAGGGGAAACTTTGAAAAAAGAGGTGGTGGAGGATATGAAAGAGGACGCGGTGGATCTGATAGAGGACGCGGTAGATTTGAAAGAGGACTTGGTAGATCAGACAGAGGACGGGGAAGATTTGAAAGAGGGCGTGGTGGATCAGACAGAGGACGCGGTGGATTTGAACGTGGAGGACGTGGAGGATTTGAGAGAGGCGGCCGAAGAGAACAAAGTAAGACAGAAAATCCGCGAAAACGTAATGTTGAGGAAAGTGAAAATCTACATCCGTCTTGGGCGGCTAAAAAGAAATCAAAACAAGACATTGTCCAGTTCGAGGACAAACGAACCGTTTTTGGGGAATCAGAGACTCCAAAAACTTTTAAAACAGATTCTTCCAAAAGCTTTAAAAACGCAGAGTCTTCTAACAAGGATATGCACCCGTCTTGGGCCGCGAAAAAGAACCAAAAACCTTCAATTTTACCCTTTCAGGGAAAGAAAACTGTTTTTGGAGACTAAAAGTTAAATTTTTAATATGTTTTCAGAATAAAAATGGCGGAAGGGAGTAAACGACTGTATGTCGGAAATCTACATCCGGAAATATCGGAAAAGGAACTGAGGGACAGATTCAACAAGTAGGGTACTTTCATTGATTGGGGAGCAGTATTATCAGAGAAGTCGAATAGTTGATCGTAGTGTTGCTCCATTGATAACAATTATTTTTTTTTGAAATCAACTAAATGTCAAAAACGACTGAACTGGTTGGGTTCAGATGTTTATCGCGGTCAAAGATAAAGGGATTACAAAATGTAAACAACATTTTTCAGATATTGTTTTATCAAAACCCACTCATTTCTCATAGACCGGTTTTAAGGAATGTGAATTCATAGTTATTCTGTTGAACTCATTTGAATTAAAATTTTTTTTTAGGTTTGGAAAGGTTGCTAATGTTGAGATCAAACACAAAACTGACATTGATGGAAACCCGACTCAAACCTTTAGTTTTGTGGATATTCATATGTCGGATAATGACGTCACTGGGTGTATCAGTACACTGGCAAATACAAAGTAAGTACAATTGATTACAAATCATAGTGTCAATAACGGGGTGATAGTACTCAGTACTGACCCTAGNGGGGTATTTAAAAATCCTATAATGTAATCTTTATATATTCTCATTTTAGAACTAAAGAATGCCACAAATGTTCCCTTTCATGTAAATTCCACATATTTGCCCGTGAACAATTTTTAGTAAAGAGGGGTAATATACAACTTTTCTCATTTCCCCAACCTCATCCTCTATATTGTTAAGTGTTCATGAATACTAAGAAAGTCTAATGCTGTTTCAATTGTCTTTATCCAACTCACTGTTTGCTGAAGATTATATTTTATCGCATTATTGCAGCATATTTTACATTAATAAAAAGGGCTTTTTTATTTTATTTTATAGTATTATGATGTTTATAGTATAATATGTATATTGTATTGTATGTACATCGTTTTGACAGAGACTTCACCTTGACTTCTACCGAATGATGGTTTAATGTTTGATTGTGTTTGTTTCTTTCTGCAGGTCAACTTGTTAAGTTCATGATTGATTGTATTCGTAACGATTGAAATTCAATAAAAACGTAGAACAAGAGTTTTTCAGAAATATTTAGATTTTCAAGAAATAAAAAATCCATTAGGCCTTGCTTCGGTCTTGAATTAGTAAAGTGGATAGGTAATTGGACCTGGAAGTAGGACGTCCCTAGACTTGCCAAGAATAGAGTGGGGACACTAAGGTTTCAACCCCCCCCCCTTTTGGTTATTCCTTTGTTAAGCATTGTTTTACTTTTAAATTTTCTATTTCTAGTTGGAAAGGCTACAGCATGAGAATACAGCAGGCTAAGGAGAGCTTTATGTCCAGGCTTGCCAGAGAGAGGTAAATATGCGTTAATAAGAATATATTATCACTTTTTGTTTAAATGAGAGATAAAACAAATATAATGATGTTTGGAGGCGGGTGGTTTTGTTAACTTAAGTAACTTAAACGAAACAATTTGAATAAGGTTAATAAATAAAAGTGAAAAAATACTAAATTCAACTTAAATAATTACACACTTTTCATGTGGTAAAGATATAATTACAGTGTTATTTGGTAAAACAGGGTTTATGTTTTTTTAACACTCTCCCCCCATAGAAATATACATTTTCTTGAAAGTCTTTTTTCTCCTCCCGCTCTTTTGAAAAATTAATTTTTCCTCAGATTTTAGATATGTTGGTCAATAATTGGGGGAAATAAATAAATTTTTGGGTAAAAAGTATCCAAATAGGGGAAACAACTTTTGATGTCCTATTCAATTTTTTTCACCTCTTTCCCTCCCTTCCCCTCTTTCTCTTACCATTTAAGGTCGTTGGTTATAAGAAGGCGAACCTTGAATGTTGATGTCATTTTTGTTGTGGTGAGGAGAAGGGGCTATTTGGGAGAAAAGGCAATCTTCTAAAAATAAAATTTTTGTTAAGGAAAGAAAAGGAGAATCAGGGAACTATGCAGGGAACACCGGGAACTCCAGTTTACAATCCTTTATCTCTAGGAACACACATATCTTATCCCTTAAAAGGTTAAACCATTCAATTTAGATATTTAAACAAGAACTTCCCCTGCATGCTTCTACCGAGTTCCCCAATCAAAATTTGAGGCCCATCGGTCAAGAAGTTCATGAGTTATGATCGATCATAACTCATGAATAAACAGAGATTACTACCTTATATTTATAAAAGATAGAATATAGGTATACATCTTGGTTTTGTTAGTCAGACCGATAATATTTCCTTCATTTTTTAAACTTCTTGTTGATGAAGGTTGCATGACATTGAGTGTGTATAGTTAAATCTCGAATGGAGGGAGACGGAGGTGAACAGAAAAAAAAGGATGAATTGAAAACTGACCGGCCGACGGTGCTGGTTAATAAACCAGAAAGGAAAAGATTTCTCGGCGGAGAGCGGGATCCCCAGGAAGGCGGAAGAAATGCTCCTTCTGGCAACTACACCAGGGGCGGATACTACTTTTTTACGAACAAGTTAGATAGCATTTGTTTAATGATATATCGAATCGAGGAAAAATCGGAGAGGAAAAACTGTCTTCTTTTCTCGCCGAATTTTGACTATTGGAAATTTTTGAAAATTAACTTTTTAATAAGGGGGGGGGGATATTCAGTAAAATATACAGTTAACACCCCAAGTTAAAAAAGAATATTTGAAAAATGGCTGCGAGGAGAACCGACTTCCCTTGCTTAGTAATGCTAAACCCTGTTTAAATATATCATTTGTTATTGTTAACAATAAACTTGTCACAATAAATTTTAGATTTTAATAAAATCTAGTTTTCCGACGTCAGGCTTGGTAGACGGGATTTTAACCAGGAACCAAGGAGCCTGGATCCCAGTGAATCCCGGGATTATTTACCAGGTCGTGGATCGGGATCGGGATCGGGATCGGGATCAGGATACGATCCTCTCAGTATGATCAAACGTCACATGGGCGGTGGCCAAGGTGAGTTTTCTTATTTAACTACTGTATCTTTAAGCACTAAACTAAAGAGATTATTAGTTCCTGGATTAAAAAATAATAACCAAAATAATTCTACAGTTTTTTTTCACGTCAAATGAATTAAAACTTGAAAAATATAAATCTAATTAAAATAGAACATTTTCAAAACACACTGTTTAAATGGGAGGAAAGGGTAGATTTTTCAAGAAGATATATACCCTTTGTACATGTACAAAATATATTAACTATTTTGCTTCTAGTTGTACCCGATGTGGCATCTGAAGCCCCAGTAGGGCCTGGTGTACGAGTAGATGAGGGTTCTGTTAATAACGGGGTTGTTACATTTGACGAGGCAGAGGAGAAGGGGCCAGGTTGGATTTAACTTATAACCAGTTTTGACCAGTTTTGACCATTTTTGGCCAGTTTTGACCAGGTTTTGCCAGTTTTGCCAGTTTTGCCAGTTTAAATTAGTTTTAACCAGTTTTAACTTTTTTAAATAAAAAAATTGTAAAAAATTTGAATTATTTTTGACCCTCTAAAGCAAAAAGCTAATCTTATTTAAATTTCAGCCCGAAAAAGAAAGATTTACCACTCTAGCGACGAGGAAGAAGACGGTGGGAAGGTGAGGACTGAACCTAGGAAGGAGCAGGTCAAGAAGAAGATCAAGAAGGTGGAGAGTGCGGAGGTGAAGGCGAAGAAGAAAGCTGAATTAAAGGAGAAGTGGGAAGCCAAGCAGAAGGAGAAGATGAAGCAGGATGAACTCGAGGCATATAAACAAAATAAGAAAACTAAGAAAGATAACAGGTATATTTTGCAAATATTTACTCGCAAAATATGTGCATCCATATCTAATTTAACATTCAAAAATCTGTGTTTTTATAAATTATAAGTAGATTTAGTTTCATATTTTGTTATTCTTCAATTTTCTTAAAATCCTCCCAACCTCAAACGGATGAAATAGATCCCAAATACATCTAAGACTTATGAATTGAAATTTATAACACTAACTCCTTATATGTAGAAATAGCCTAAAAACTATCATCTTTGAACCTTCTATTCATATCGAAACGAATTAAGGGAAATAATATTTACCCCCTCCTCCCTTTATACCATCCCTGCTCAGGTCAGGTTAAAATAAAAAATCACTTGAGGTTCCTCTTTTTCTGGAAGGAAGGAGGGGGGGGGGACATTAAATATAATCATCTTCTGCCTTGAATATATAGTATGTTACTGGTTCACTAAATGATTTGGCCCGAAGAGAAGCTAGCTTGTACCTGCAGTGAACCGTAAACGCAAAAACAAATTACGTGCAGTCGTCTCTGAAGTCTTTTTCTTTGTGGCAACCATGTACTTATTTTACAGTAAACGTAACTTTACTGTCCCACATAATGAGCTAAACTCCCCGCAACAGAATATTTTGAGAATTGGAAGAATTTTGTTTTCAGTGGTGCTCGATATTATTCAAGCTCAGAAGAGGAAGAAGAAGAGGAAAGTAATGAACCTGAAAAAAATGATAAATTAGGTAAAAATATATTTCTTTACATCTATATATTTATTAATTTATTATGGCAACCCTAAAAACACGAATGGAGTTAGACATCACGCCCGTCAGCACCTTTCCTAGCTGAATGATACCATGTCATGTTTAGGAAAGGCATTCTTCCCTAATTATCCTATTCAGTTTCTTCTGTTGATTTGTCAAAAAAAAACAGTTTTTATTTTTTCAATTTTCAATTTTTCAATTTATTTAAAAAGTTTATAATTGTCACTTAAAATTTGCTTTTCTTTATTGATAGATTGTTATAAACAAAATCAACTGGGGCGAAAAGATTTTTAAAGAATAAAAATTGGTTCTTAAATTATCAGTTTAGTTTTCCTTTCGGCGATTTTCTTCAAACATAGTTGCCCCCTGTTCTTAAATTTAAGATTTGGCGGAAAAACAGCGATTCGCTCCTAAAGTTCTTAATTTTCGGGGGGAACAGTTCTTAAATTTTTAAATCGTTCTTCAAAAATATTTCACCTTAAAAAATTTTTTCGACATTTTGATCATAAGTCCTGTAAAACCTTTAATAACATGATGAAGAAAAAATCTTGTTTTTGTAACTCATCAGTAAAGTTCCTCTTACATTTTATTCAGAGTTCTGATTTCAATCCTCACACCTCTTATTGTATATATGTTTCTTTTTACATTTTAGTAAATCAGGTTCAGAAGATAGATAAGAATTCAATTTATAGATGATAAAAGTGGGGGTTATGAAACATTTTTTAAGTAGGACCCTTTCTTAAAGAAGATAAAATATTGTTTTGTTTAAACCATCTGTACTGTTCCATGTTTACTGTGTGAAGTACAATATTATGTTAACAATTTTTTGAATTTAAGTTGTTGCTTTAATGATATTTTTTAACATATTTAAGATTCATAATATATTCTCTATAGATGTAAAACTTTCAAAGTAACAATTAAAGTTTTTATCCGGGTTGCATTATGGTTCAGGTTTCGGAAAATCACACCAATGAAAGAGAATTTTTGAGATGTCGTAAAAGTAAGATGACTAACGATAGCAGTTGCGACTTTCCTAGCATTAAAAGAAGAAGAGTATCAAAGTATTCAATTATTGGATACAACAAACTCAACAAGTCGAGAAAAAAAAGCTCATCAAAGTAATGTTTGACATCAATAAGAGAGGATTTGAAAAATTTTCAATTTTTTCATATTTTCCCAATTTTTGTATGATTTCAAAAAATGGTCTAAAAATTAAGAATTTTGCGTTTTCAAAAATGTGTTCTTAAAAATCTAAATTTTCGAATATGTTCTTAGTTTTGTTCTAAATTTTGGCAACGTTTTTTAGAAAAATCTTAAATTTAAGAACAGCATTCTTAATGTTTTGGAGGGCAGGGTCATTATTATTATTATTATTATTATTAACAATCAACCTACAGATAAAGTAAAACGACCTGTAGGTTGAAATACAATGAAAACAGGGCTCCTCCACTTGCCCTGGTCTATATGGGATCTAGAGGTTCAGATCTGGCCTGAATTTTTTAAGATTCAGTGTGTATGCCAGTAGGGGGAAAAGGGGGTGCTTCAAAAGCACTTACAGAGTACGGTACACACTTCAGCAGAGTGTGTTAATTTGTTAAATCAGTAATATAGATTATTGACCAGGGGAAGTGGAGCTCAATTACCTGTAGATTACTTAAATTTTATTGGGAGAACTATGGTGTCGTCTTTGCGTCCAGTTCTCATGTGCTCTCTTTTCATTTTACCATACGATTAGTTAAATAAAGTCAGGTGTACTGGAAGGGTTTTGAACCATATAACACTGTTATTTGTAAAAACATGATAATTGTTACATTAAAAATGGCTTGGAATGCATGTTACGAAGGCGGTTCATGGACAGCTGTAAGCCATGTTTCAATCATTTTACCCAGCGTTCTACCCTTTCCCATCAGGGTTTGTCCTGTAGAACCGTCCCCGCCAAGATAAGCTCATAAATCCCGGACATTAGCAATTGGGCCTTTTGCTTTTAATCTCATTCATATATTGAAAATGTATAAATCTCCTCTGAGCTTGGCTATTATTGGGCATTCAAATATAATCTGTGACTCTGGCAATTTAATATGAAGGCCCAATAATTCGCAGTGTGGGTAAACATCATATTTAAATCCATATCGGTTTTTGTACATATTACCCAAATACCAAAGTAATGTTTGACATAATAAAAGAGGATTTAAAATTTTTTTTTCGTCTTTTTTCTATATTTTTCCAATTTTTGTGAGATTTCAAAAAAAGGTTCTCAAAAAAACGCGATTTCAAAAAAACGTTATAAAAATCTTAATATTTGAAAATGTCCTTAATTTTGTTCTTAAATTTCGGCAAAGTTTTTTCAGAAAAATCTTAAAGTTAAGAACAGTGTTGTTATTTTTTTGGAGGGCAGGGTCAACTTTGTTCAAATTAACTTAAAACGTTCACCTATATTTGATAAAAAAAGAAGTTAAAATATTATCACCCTTCATGATAATCAAGTACAAAATTTGTTGTAATCCTTTTTGAATTTTTATTTTTGCATTCTGTTTTTACTTAAGATGGAGCCGCGCCAGAGAAGGCATCCTTATCAATCCTCAAAAAATTTAAATCTTTTAGGTAAAATCTTATTTTTTGTTTCGATAATAATATTGAGTCAATAAATTCTTTACTCATTTTGCGATCTTGTTTTCAGCTCCAGTGTTTGGGCAGATTCAGATCAAGAAGAAGAGGAGGAAGAAGAAGATGAAGAAGAAGATAATATGAAAGAAGAAGAGGAAGATGTGGAAGAGGTTAATGCTGAAGAGGAGCGTGAGCGTAACTACGCAATCCTGAGTCAGGTTGTTGGGAAGAATGTTCAAGAACCTGCTCAGCATAAACCCCGTAGCCTTGGCCTTGACTATATGCCGAGGTTTGATCCTGAAGCCTCGGATCCGGAGGATGCTGCGAAAGATGCTGAAGATACAACGAAGGATGTTGAAGAAACTAGTGTTGAAGCTGGCGCTCCTTCTGTAGAAATATCCAAAAATCTCAAAGAAGCGCTTGGAAAAGGATCTTTCTCCTTCGGTTTCCGTAAATCTGAACCCGAGCAGGAAATAAAACCGGTGAAACCGGAACTCTTTCACCTTGACTCTGATGATGAAACTGAAACTGTTAAAAAAGTGGCGGATTTTTCAGAAACTTTTGGAAACCAGTTACAGGGGAAAATCGACGAAAACGCTGAATCATTTTTTTTTATTCCCGATGACGAACGATTGAAGGAGGGTATACAATTTTTCTTCCACGAGCGCGAAGACTTAGAGAAAGTTCGAGCGGAATACAATGCTAAAAGACCTGAGTTGGCGGCCATATTTAAGAACAAAGCAAGATCTAAAGCACAACTGGATCGGAAAAATATCAAGTCTCGGCCTAAATTCAAGAGGTTTAAGTCGCAACGTGGCAGACCAAATAAGCACCATTAAAATTTGCAACTATTTAGCCATATTTTTTATAATATAAATTGATCCTGTTTCTCAAGTTTAAATTCCTACCACAATATGTATATTTTTGATTTGTTTATTTAAAATTTAATGTAATATCTAACATTAACAATCCAGAAATGAAGTTTCACCGTTCATCATAAGGTAAAATGTGTGAAACGTGAAGCTTTTTTTATATCCATAAAAGAAGATTATTTATGTCGGGCGGAAATCTTTACTCTTGGTGACGTAAAATATGATGACGACGATAATATGATGTTTCCATGGAGAAAAATTAAACTTCAACAAATAATGTTTTTTTTTCTGCACATTTCTAGATGTGAATTCAAATTTTGTTCAAACGCACAAACGATGATCAGAGTATTTTGCAACGTCAGGATACCTCTTGGGGTTTCAGCGCAGGTGGATTTTACTTGCACGCAATTTGCGAGCCATTGCGAGCAATTCCATTCAACTTGCGCTAAAAATGCATTAAACGAACAATTATGCTTAACTGCACTCAGACTTGAGTCTTAACTGCTAAGCGAATTGAATTTAAACATAAATAATAATATACATATAGCAAAAAATCTAATGTTGTTAAGAAATTTCAATTTTAAGCAAACAAAAATTACCGTTTGATTTTCATTAAATGTGAACAAATTAAATCACAAACTAGAAGGATCTTTTCTTTAAGATTATATGAGAAATGCAACAGTGGTTTCCTAAAAACTGTTGAATAACGATCAAACTACAACGAAAATGTTCAATTTAACATTTGGAAACCCTTGGCAAATTTCAACTGACCCTCGAATTTAAAGGTCTGTATAGATAAATTCTGACCATTTCCATTCTTGTATCTGCTGCATAAATTAAAGTTAAAAAAGTTGTGCTGTATGATGGCGGCACGGTTACTGCATAGCGGAGGCTTGGTCTGCATAATTGAGGCTCGGTCTGCCTAGTAACTCTGGGAGGCTCGTGTCTGTTTAACAGAGGCTCACGGCGTCCGGGGGTTCCCTACCTCGTCAGGCTGAATAGGGTTAAGTGGGAAGATAATCTTTACACGTAAAAAATGTTCATAGCCTAATTTTTAGCATTAGGTAAAACTTAAAAGACATGAATGTAAACAAATTTCATTATTTACCCTTGAGCTTTTTTAAAGGATTATGGTAATTTTTATGTGAAAATTCAGACATTTTGGTTGGGGATGCGTTTTCCCTTTTTATTTATTTGTGTGAAATTAGTTTATTTTTAAATCCATTCTTTAAAATCCAAATTAAAGGGCTAGAAGGTGCCTGCTCTCTCCAGATGTACGCCGAATTTTTTAAGGAGGGGGGGGGGTACCCTAAATTTTCGAGGAAAATTAAGCCGCCTCTTCTTTGGCCCATGAGGTAAATTGATTGAAAATCCTAAATTTCAGGGAAAATGTTATTAAATGATGAACGGGGGGGGGGGGGGGGGATATTGACCGGGGAAAGTATTAAAATCATGATTTATAAAAATGATTATAAAGTACATGTGTCTCAGTTCTTTTTTATCCCTTCACTAAGCTACACGGATTTAGATATTAGAGTTCTGTGAATGATCACAGTTTCGAAGCAGGCACTAGCTTTTTGTCTATTATACAGGGTGTTTCAAAATACGTAGGCATTAAATGACACTTAAAAAATTGGAGAAGAGTCTATAACCCTTATTAAAGATAAATGTCATGCAGAAGACAATAGAAGTTGAGATTAGAGGTAATTTTAGAAACATCAAAAAAATCTGAACTTGGATCAGGAGAATTCGATTTTTATTGTGTTAAGTACATGATACTGTATCTAGAGTTATTATCTGTTATTTTTAACAATTAGGATTTTTAGGCTTCAAGGAGGCCTCACAAATATCTGATAAGACTAATAATAATATATTTTAAGATTATATTCTCTTGACTTTTTGCAAAAGATATAAGCCTTAACCATTTTTCTAATTGTTCGATAACTAATGAGTGATTTTGCTTTATTCAGTATTATATTTTCTGTACGAGTCAAATTTTGCATAATTTCATAAAAGAAAATGATGAATAACGCAAGCCTCTTTAGGCCAACATTCTCGAATATAAAAAACCGGATTTTGAATCTTGGATCCGCGGATCTGCATATTTTTCCACTTTCCAGGGATTTTTAGGCGGGAATTATCAAAAGGACAAGCAAAGCTCACCACCATTATCTTTTTCTTTTTTAGATAAAGAAGACTTCTTGCAGTTTGTTTTGTTTTAAAAATTCTTTTACTCAAATATATTTTGCTTTAAAATCAATTTTCCTTCTATATCACTGCAATATATTATTTTAATTATTATTGCTCGGCATCAAACCACTTAAAAAATCATGGTAAAAGACATTTTAAACTTTCACCAACTGTCATATTTCATGGGACACCCTGTACTTAAATTTGTATTGTTCTTCATTAAAGAACAACATGCCTATCGCGCATGTAAAGGCCCCAAACTGTCCTTAATATTTTACAATTTTTAAAAAACTCAGATAAAAAATGTTCAGTTTAACCTGTATACCTAACAAGGGTCTCGGTAAGTAGAAAAAATGGTTAGAATTATTAATATTTCTTGAAGGGAAAATAATTTTTTTTTTGTTTGTTCAATATGTTCATGTATGATATTTAAATTTTAGATTTTAATCTTGTGATTTGTTAGAAAAGAAGATTATTTTTCAAAATGAGAAATAGAGAGGTTTTATGTTCAGACACTTTTTAAGTACTTCTGAGAAAAAGAAAATACTTGTTCAATTTTTAATAACTTTTAGAATGATTGCATTTACCTTGTTCAGGATTGATATCCAATATTCCTATCCCTGCAGGTCAACTCATACTTCAGGAGCCTCCGATTCTCAGGTAGAGTCAACTTGTACTTCAGGAGCCTCCGATTCTCAGATAGGGTCAACTTATACTTCAGGAGCCTCTGATTCTCAGGTATAGGCAACTTTTACTTCAGGAGCCTCCTATTCTCAGGTATAGGCAACTTATACTTCAGGAGCCTCCTATTCTCAAGTAGGGTCAACTTATACTTCATGAGCATCCAATTCTGATGTAGAGTCGACTTATACTGTATGAACCTCCGATTCTCAAGTAGGCTCAACTTATACTGGAGGAGCCTCTGATCTTTAGTTAGGGTCAAATAAAACCTTAGGAGCCTCTCATTCCAAGATAGGTTCAAATTAAATTTAAGGGCCTCCGATTCTCAGGTAGGGTCAGTTTACAAGTTACACTTCAGTAGCCTGCCATTCTTAAGTAAGCTCAGCTTATAATTTTGAACTTCCAATACAGGGTCAGCTTTTACTTTAGAAGCCTCCATTACAAAGGCAGGGTCATCTTGCACGTTTGTAGTCTCATAGTTCAGACGCCCATGCGATTATTAGATAGGGTCTAGTCAGCCATTAAAAGCCTCAAATGTTCTCAGGCAGGGTAAATAAAAGATCAGTATTTCTTGAAAGCGTTCAATTTTGGGAATGCCATTGTATATATATCACTATGGCGTCTGCCAAATAGGAAGGATTTAAAGCTAATCATATCTGTTTAGTGTGATAGCTGTGGATGGAAAGCTAAGTCCGAAGGCTGGTGTGGATCTAGAAAGACAGTACAGCAGATTAAGTGATGACAGGAAAATGCAATTAACAGTTGGTCTGAAATAATAATATTAAACGCTAAAAATTTAGGATAAACTCATAACAAAGGAACTGAGTCATAGCAACTACATGGTGCAAACCTTTGATATTTCAAACTTTGATTGTTTAATATTTGAGAATTCATAGTTTGAAATATCTATACCACATTGGGCTACATAGATATATAGGGATTAGAAAATCTGAGTTTGTGCCTAAGACTCAATTCCTTAAAAGAAATTGTTTGATTACCAATATCTATGTATACGTGTTGGCTAAACCATACTCCCAACATTGAGTTTTTAGATTAACCCATTAGTTCAAATAAATTGGAAAAAATATGTAACTGCAGTCAAATGTTATTGAAGATATTTAAACATTGCTTTGAATAAAGGAGAAAGGTTATTAACAATCTTGCAAACAACTACATTGGAGAGGAATGCCATATCATGGGTAAGTTGACCAAATATAAGGATACTAGCGATTTGGGGCGCTTCGCGCCCATCTTCTATTTTAATTGTGAACATGTTCTTTTTGTATGCATCGTAAAACAAAACAACAAAAATTTCGTGGATTTTCAAAATTTTCAAAAATTTAATGAAAATCGAATTTTGATGGAGACAAATATTTGAAATTTTGATCATTCATAAACCTTCCCTGGGGCCATTTGAGGTCACACACAAAATCTGGGCCTGTTCGGTTCAGCCGTTTTGACGTTTATTGGATACAAACAGACAGACAGACAGACAAACAAACAAACAAACAGACAAGCCAAATTTATATATAGATGATCAGATTATTCCTTAAAAAGTTGAAGAGTGTGTTCATGGTTTTTAGATTGGGCATTATTTAATGCTTTATTTCTAGATCCAATTATTCTTTAATGCTCTATTTGTAGATCAACTTTTTAAAAAAGAAGTGATGTAACAACTGTTTAGTTGTCTAATCTTCATTGCTTGGCGTCAACCTTTGGCGTAAGCTAAGCTGCCAACCACTGCTCTTTATGCCATACTAATCTCTATACATGAGTGATAGAATGAATTTAAAAAAATTAACAAATACAATAGGCAATGCGATTTTAAAGAAATTATGTGTGACGTCTTTGGTAAGGCTGGGCGTTATTCCCGGGTAACGTTAGTTTTTTTTCACGGGAACAAACGGAATGGAACAAAAGATTAAAAAGTATGAATTTACAGGAACGCACGGAATGGTACAAACGATTTTTAAAAAAAGTAGGAACATGTCTGCCCTAGTCATTGGTGTCAATTGTGCCACAGTTCCAATCCGTCTCTACATATTAAAAAAGAATAGACCGAACACATAAAACAGCAATATTTACACTGCAAACTTAAGCATGTGTATTGTGTACATATTTACCAGTGCCACCTAAATTGTACTTGATATTTGATACAGATACACGTTAAACTGGATCTAAGCTTGAAGTAAAACATATCACGGTGTATGTGAGGAAATTGGAACATTTAGTTTTCCTTTCAAAAGAAGAAAGAATTCATCACCATGTTCAAAGAAGTATTAGCTGCATCTTCTTTCACATTTCCTAGGTCTTGCATCCGAAGAAATGGCATCAACTTCAAGTATCCTGAGGGACAGTTGATTTGTTTTACAGATGGCAGTTTAGAAGCATATGCTTGTGCTGTTTATCTCAGGTTCAAGACTGCTGAAGAGCGCATCTACTGCAACTTACTCACTAGTGGAGTAAAAACTGTAGGAGTTAGAAAACTGACTGCACCAAGGACTAAGCTTCTAGGTGTTGTCCTGGGAGTCCAGGTAACCAGCAGTGTTATCAGTAAAATAAGTGCCTTGGTATACATCCATCAAGCTCTCTTCTTAAGATGTGGAATAACCTGCCTCTTGACTTAAAAAGAAGCAACTCTCTAAGTATATTTAAAAATAGACTACTAAATTCTCTTTTTGAAAATTATAGGACAATGTGTTATAAACAGAATTGCTATTCATGTAAAACTAATTAGATATGTTTTAATATGCTTTGATATTTGTTGTGTACATGTCTGAAAATTACTTTAAACTCTAGTTATTCGAATTTATGTATAAACTATTTTGCATATGATAAATTCGCACCCTGATCTCTAATCGTTCTCCTTAAATCTATTTAATTGAAATATTTTGTTATTATTACTAACATTAGGTGGAAAAAATAATCAAAACAGCCAAGAGCTATTTTCCACCTAATTGCTTTATACTTGTACTGTTAATATAATCATCAATTTTGTGATTGTAAACTCTATCTGTATACAGATACATTTATTTTAGCAATAAACGTTATCTTATCTTATCTTATCTTATCATTAAACAAACACTATTTCTCTCTGACTCTCGCATAGTCCTGGGACAGCTGAAGCATGTATTAGGCTGGTTTGAGAAGTTTGTTGGATCCATATTGGATTTTATCCAAAGGAATTCCAAAGGTTCTGTTTGGAAGTGGATACCTGGAGACTTGAATCCAGCTGATCTTCCAACTAGAGCAAACTCAAATATGGAGGAAATACAGAGCAAAAAATGGTTACATGGTGGGTTTTTACTAGAGGAGGAACACTGGCCAGTAAAGGATGTTTCCAACTTTGATAAGTTACCTGGAATGGATAACTCCATTTTTCAAGCCAACATGCTGGTTATACAATGGAGGACACTCTCCAGATTGACTCATTACAGCATTGAGCATGATAACAATAATGACATCTCTGATCATGATGATGACATTGATGATTATGATAATGATGATATCGACATGCCAGATAACAATGATCTTGTGTTCCCAAACAAACCACAGAGAGCAAAACTCCTTTAAAAATTTGTTGCGGACGAAAATCAGAAAATTGTGGACTTCAAAAGTTTTGATAAGAAAAAACATCCCTGAATTTTATGATGTGTATATTGGTGTAAATAATAATTTTATTATTCTTTTGGGTTCAGGAATTTGATTTAAACGAAAGAATTTATTTTAGCTATGATTTACTCAGCTGTCAGAAAAACAAAAAAGGCCTAAATCATAGAGCGAATGTACATGTGTGCTACATTCGCAGCACAGATGTGTATTTAATCTAGATATTTAGTACTCTTAAAACTTTGTCCAGAATTGTGTCAGTCCAGGTACAACTTGTAAGTTGTAAATGTCAACCAGGACACACACTCTTCAGCAATCAATGTCAAACCAATGGACACAATCTTATCGGCTCTGAATTTCACACAGGGACACAAGCGTAGCTATCAAACAAGCTCTTAAGCGATCAATGCCAAACCAATAATCTGTAAACCTTAAATAATCTCCAGATTGTTTGCATACGTGTATGCATATTTATTAACTTGAATATCTTATCTATTTTGTATATTTCAGTTATGAGTGTTTTTGATTTAACAAATAAACATCTACAGAAACTAACTCATTATATTGACAAGTCTACCCAGACAAAGCTTGTTGGATGCGTTATATTGAAGGAACCCTGAAACTGCTTCGTTTCAATACATACATACATAAAACATACCGTTTACCATAGTGTAAAACCAGGATTGCTCTCTATAGTCTATCTACGTAATAAAGATAATATCTGAAATTAATCTAAGGAATATTTAAAACCAATGCGATGGTAATCTCTAACGACAAGTCCTGTCTGTTCCCCCTGGTGTGCCGGGCTAACCATGCTTGTGTTCCAAACTGTACATATATCTGGGACGATGAAACTGGTTTGCAGGTATTTGAACCAGGGTTGTTTCAACATTTTTATCCAGGGAAGATTTTCCCTTTTTGGCTTGTAACCCCCTGAGAACCAAAGTTGCCATCTTCTCAAAAGGGGGGGGGAGGGGGGGGGAGGCAGCCTCATAGCCTCCAAACAAGTAAATTTAAAAAACAATCAGTTGTATTTAAATTTCAACAGAGATCAAGCCTTTCTAATCTGATATTTTGTAAAGGTCAACTATATATTGTGATAAATGTGTAAATGGCATTACAACGTAATTGCTGTTTTGCTCATAAAGAATGTATTGGACACCATTCCTGTTGTAGAACCTGTATGCTTGTGACAATATCCTTCCTGGGGAGGAGTTGACCGTCAGCTATCTTCCTGACAACATGGTGGAGGGAAGAACTAGTCGAAGAGGCATGCTAAGAGCATTATATAGGTATATCCTCATTCTCATAGATATTTTGCTTGTTGGTTTGTCTGGTTGTTTGTTTTCAGTGTTTTGTTTAATTGTTTAAAATAATCAACCCTGTTGTATGTTATGTCCTAGGTTTGACTGTATCTGTGAACTGTGCAGTAATGACTGTGGAATAATGTTTGAGCAGGATGAGAGGGATAGAGTAAAAGCAAAAATGCTCATAGGTATTTACTGGTTCTTTTGATGTACAGCAAGGTTTTAAACTTTCATTCTTCTGTGTCAAACTTTTCTATTTTACGGTGTTACCTTGTATTAACCTTGTTCTACTGTGTTTAGACCTTGTATAAACCTTGTATTCTACTGTGCTTAGACATTGTATACACCTTGCATTCTACTGTGTTTAGACCTTCTATAGATCTTGTATTCTACTGTGCTTAAAACTTGTAAAAAACCTTGTTCTACTGTGTTTAGACCTTGAATAAAACTTGTATTCTAATGTGCTAAGACCTTGTATACACCTTGTATTCTACTGTGTTTAGACCTTGTAAAGATCTTGTAATCTACTGTGTTTATACCTTGTATAGACCTTGTATTCTACTGTGTTTAGACCTTGTATATACCTTGTATTCTACTGTGTTTAGACCTTGTATAGACCTTGTATTATACTGTGTTTAGACCTTGTTTAGACCTTTATTCTACTGTGTTTAGACCTTGTATAGACCTTGTATTATACTGTGTTCAGCCTAATTTTATAAACCTTGCATTTTACTGTGTTTAGACCTTGTATAGTCATTGTATTCTACTGTGTTAAGAACTTATATAAATCTTGTATTCTACTGTGTTTAGACCTTGTATAGACCTTGTATTCTACTGTGTTTAGACCTTGTATAAACCTTGTAGTCTACTGTGTTTAGACCTTGTATAATAAACCTTGTATTCTACCGTGTTTAGACCTTTTATAAACCTTGTATTCTACTGTGTTAAGACTTTGTATAGATTTTGTATTTTACTGTGATTAGACCTTGTATAGACCTTGTATTCTACTGTGTTTAGACCTTGTATAGACCTTGTATTCTACTGTGTTTAGACCTTGTATAAATCTTGTATTCTACTGTGTTTAGACCTTGTATATACCTTGCATTCTACTGTGTTTAGACCTTGTATAGACCTTGTATTATACTGTGTTTAGACCTTGTAAAACCTTGCATTCTACTGTGTTTAGACCTTGTATAGACCTTGTATTCTACTGTGTTTAGACCTTGTATAAATCTTGTATTCTACTGTGCTTAGACCTTGTATAGATCTTGTATTCTACTGTGTTTAGACCTTGTATATACCTTGCATTCTACTGTGTTAAGACTTCGTATAAACCTTGCATTCTACTGTGTTTATACTTCCTATAAACCTTGCATTCTACTGTGTTTAGACTTCCTATAAACTTTATAGTCTACTGTGTTAAGACCTTGTATAGACCTTGCATTTTACTGTATTTAGACCTTGTATAAACCTTGTATTTTACTGTGCTTACTGCTTAAACTTAAATAGACCTTGAATTTTACTGTGCTTACTGCTTAAACTTGTATAAACCTTGTATTTTCTGTGCTTACTGCTTAAACTTGTATAAACCTTGTATTTTACTGTGCTTACTGCTTAAACTTCTATAGACCTTGAATTCTACTGTGCTTACTGCTTAAACTTGTATAAACCTTGTATTTTACTGTGCTTACTGCTTAAACTTGTATAAACCTTGTATTTTACTGTGCTTACTGCTTAAACTTCTATTGACCTTGAATTTTACTGTGCTTACTGCTTAAACTTGTATAAACCTTTTATTTTACTGTGCTTACTGCTTAAACTTGTATAAACCTTGTATTTTACTGTGCTTACTGCTTAAACTTGTATAGACCTTGTATTTTACTTTGTTTACTGCTTAAACTTGTATAAACCTTGTATTTTACTGTGCTTACTGCTTAAACTTGTATAAACCTTGTATTTTACTGTGCTTACTGATTAAACTTGTATAGACCTTGTATTTTACTGTGCTTACTGCTTAAACTTGTATAAACCTTTTATTTTACTGTGCTTACTGCTTAAACTTGTATAAACCTTGTATTTTACTGTGCTTACTGCTTAAACTTGTATAGACCTTGTATTTTACTGTGCTTACTGCTTAAACTTCTATTGACCTTGAATTTTACTGTGCTTACTGCTTAAACTTGTATAAACCTTTTATTTTACTGTGCTTACTGCTTAAACTTGTATAAACCTTGTATTTTACTGTGCTTACTGCTTAAACTTGTATAGACCTTGTATTTTACTTTGTTTACTGCTTAAACTTGTATAAACCTTGTATTTTACTGTGCTTACTGCTTAAACTTGTATAAACCTTGTATTTTACTGTGCTTACTGATTAAACTTGTATAGACCTTGTATTTTACTGTGTTTACTGCTTAAACTTGTATAAACCTTGTATTTTACTGTGCTTACTGCATAAACTTGTATAGACCTTGTATTTTACTGTGTTAACTGCTTAAACTTGTATAGACCTTGTATTTTACTGTGCTTACTGCTTAAACTTGTATAAACCTTGTATTTTACTGTGCTTACTGCTTAAACTTGTATAAACCTTGTATTTTACTGTGTTTGCTAGCGACCCTCTAGTGAAACTAAATTCCTAAAGATATTTTTTTTTATCTGAGTAAAAATGAAAAAGATATCGTCGTTTTTCTTTCTTAAATCTATATAAATTTGTTAATTTCCTCGGTGAATAAAGCTGCAAGTCACGTTATTAGAGAAGCCGCAGCAGAAAGAAAGGGTCACTCGAAAATACGTCAACATTCCCTTTAATTCCTTTAGATTTTCATCTACTAATGAGAAATAAGTTTTCTTTATGGATTTTGTAGAGAGAGAAGTTCTCATCAAGATTTCAAATTAAGTTTATCCGAGAAATGAATTATAGACATCACAACATTTCTGTCATTAATCTCGGGCCATTAATTATTTTAAAAATCTAAAACTCTAGGACTGGGCATCATTTTCTTTTTATACAGTGATAACCAGAAAACTCTGAACTAGTACGACGACTTTGAGAATCAAGTTTTAACTTAAAAAAGTGCAATGACCATAAAATGCAGCAATTGTGCAGTGTAAACAGTCCAATTTCACAAAATAAGTGATTCTATAAGTGTCTAGTAAAAGTTTTTTCTTTGTATCACCATCAAATACAATTAAGTATTGCTATAATGTCGTCTTACTATTCCATTGTTTTCTGGTTATCATTGTAAAATAAGTTCATTTTAAAATTTAAATTCCGTTTTCTTCAGGGTTAACCAAAAATAGATGAGACTTTAGGGACAAATATATGGTTACATGCAACATGAAACAAGTAATGTAGTGAATCAATTATACCAACTTATTTAAGACAAATTACCAAATTCCACCTTCAAATAGTTAACATGTCATAAGTTTTAGGTCATCATTAAAGTCTCATTCGTGGTGGGCAAATAGATTATCAAGCACAATAGGTGGCAACAGAGAAATGAACCAATTATACACGACGTCACAAGTGTCAAATATAACAAGAAAAATGAAATTTTCTCACATTGGTTGACATGTTTTTCAAGATTAAATAAAAAAGTGTAAAAGCAGAAAATAAAGAATACATTTAATTGCAAGGCAAGAAAAAAATGATCGCATTCACATTGCATAATTGTAAGATCAGATTCGCACACGATAAGGATCGCGTACAGTTGAAGTATCTCGTGCGATATCACAATTTTATTAATGAAGCTCGACTTCAAATTGAATGACAGCTTGCTTAAGTTTAAAATAAAGAATCTTGCAGAATGTTCACATCAAAGGCGCTGAGATAAATTTTAATAGAAATATCATGGCTTAGTCTTAAGATTAAACGATTGTGTTCAATTTTCAGATTAAAGAATTACGCAAAATATTTAGTTAACTAAAAAACCTAAAAAAATGTATTGAAATATGTTATAGTTATAAATGTTTTACATTCTAGTTGTTACTTCATTTAAAACCCAAAATTAAAAAGTAAACTAACACTTTTTCAGTCTTTAAGGTTGACTTTTTTAAACTGATTATTCAGGAAAACTCCTTGATTTTTAGAAAACCCCCAGGCCTAATAATTTCTCTAAGTACATTGAAATACATTAGCAGGAATTTAAATAAATTGGCTTACAAGTAAATCTCTCTTCGGAAAAAAACGTTGGAAGGGGGGGGGGCTTTAATTTAAAAAATCATTTGAATTTTTAATTATCTCCAACAAAATTTGTATTTAAACGGTGAACCCTCATTGAACTGAATCTACACATTTTTAATTGATATTTAGGAGAATTAATTATTCTGGACATATTACGGTATTTGCGGTCAACTTTAATATCTGAACCTTATCAAACCTAATCTGTACTTTACAAGATTTATTCGGGGTTTTCCTTTCATAGGGTCCAGAAACACAGGATGTCCCAATAAATCATGGGAATTAATAAATTTAGATTTTTAACATTTTATTTACAGTTCTTGCAAGTTACAATGACAAGTATTTTTTTGTATTTTTTGTACAATGTTTTCAAACGTCAGAAGTCAGAACAAACATTCATCTGCCCTTTTTTGTATTTTACTGGACATTTTGATGAAGAATGAACTTTTTTAATGTAGATATATTCCTGTGTAATATATATTTCTGTACTTTCCCTTCTTAAAGTACGCTTCTCCATGTTTTATGCAAACGTCTGGATTTTCTGAATGAACTCGCACATTTTTCAAATCAAGGTTTTTGCGAGTTCTATTTCTGGTTAGTTTTAAACATCAATATTATCTAAATATAAATTTGTTTGTTTGTTTCCTATAAACGTCATCACGTCCGAACTAATCAGACTCAAAAGTTTTGGAGCAACTGACATGACCGAGAAAGGGTTTATTGATGACTAAAAATAAGAAAAAAATGTGGAGATGAATTAATTTTAAAAATGTACCAATTTGTCAGAAAAATTCTCTTCCAAATTTTTTTTATCGGTAAACGATGAATAAAATGGCGACTGCAAAGCAATAATTCAAGATATATATGTAAAGATATTTTAGCATTCAACAATTTAAGGGTTATAATATTTCTGACTACTAAGTAAAAATATTTCTGACTACAGGATTATAATATTTTATGATTGTATGGGCTTTATATTCCTGATTGCATGGGCTTTATATTCCTGATTGCATGGGCTTTATGTTCCAGATTGCATGGGGCTATAATATTGCTGGTTGCATGGGCTTTATACTCCTGATTGCAGGGCTACAATATTCCTGATTGCAGGGCTATAATAATCCTGATTGCAGGGCTGTAATATTTCTGATTACATGGTTACAATATTCCCAATTACAGGGCTATAATATTTTTGATTGCAGGGCTACAATATTCCTGATTGCAGGGCTATAATAATCCTGATTGCAGGGCTGTAATATTTCTGATTACATGGTTACAATATTCCCAATTACAGGGCTATAATATTTTTGATTGCAGGGCTATCTAATATTTCTAATTGCAGGGCTATCTAATATTTCTTATTGCAGGGCATTGATATTCCTGAATGCTGGGCAATAATATTTCTAATTGCAGAGGTGGTAAACAAGACTGCGGAGACAATGGATTGTTCTTTGGGGGGAGATGTACACAAGCTTATGTACAGCAAAACTTGTAAACAACTGTACAAGCATCTCAGTAGCATGTAGGCGTTTTGTTAATAACACTTTTTTCTAAAAAAAAAACTGAGTTAGGTTGCAAAAGGTAATGCTGCACTATTTTAGTTTTGTTTTTTTAATTATATTTACTATTATTATCTTTTTATTTTTAACTGCATACACATAATCTTCTTTCTATGTCAATGGATTTTTAAGTCAAGCAATTTGCATTTTTTAAATCATTATAATATTCAGTGCTTTGGCATTGCTTTTTTTGGAAAAGGTATTGTTAATGGGTGGACCTTAATTTTTTGCTAATTTTTTTTGTAGCGCAAAAAAATTAGGAATGCAATAGTTCCTGGCGCCTCTGTTTCTGTTTTCTGCCTACTGTCTCAAATCAAGAACCAAATTTAAAACGTGTTAATTGAGCAAATCTGACCCTATTCCTCCGTCTTCTCCAAACCCAGTCCCACGACGTATCAATTCAGTTCTAATAAATACCACAGTAAACTGCCAGGAGACCAACCTGAAAACAGCTCTGCTATGCCTGCTCTCCTTCCGTTGATAATAAATATTAATCATATAGATATGTAATTTTTATGCACAAACTGTCATATTTTCAACGGAAAAATAAATTATTAGATTAGATTAGATCTTAAAGCATACAATTTTACTTATTTAAACCGTTTGTGAAAATGAAAGAGGGAAATTGACATGAATTAAATTCGAAATTCATGGCTACAAATTTTCTTCTATCTTTACGTCTAGAATAAGGAAAATGTTAACAACACTCAGTTTCTTGCAGGGGAGAAGTCGTGTGAATTCCCAGAGTTTCAATATGGCAGTCAGAAATTTTAATGAATTTCAAACTGATCCTTTATTTTGGCATTAAAAGTTCTAATAGAATTCTAGTCACTTTTATTATAGTAAAGTAACTATAGTTACTGTTTGTCCAAGGGGGGGCTTAACTTTTTTTCCTTTTACGGGGGGGGGGGGGGGCTCATCACCAGTTGTGGTCTGAAAACCCCATAACTGGGAACCTTAGATTTAGCAGACTCTGGGGGTGGGGCTGAGCTTCCAATCCATAGCCCATCCTGTGTACGCCTCTGCTCAAGGCTTTTGAAGTTAGCCATGTTTGGCCATTTTTTTACAAGATTTTTTTTTCAAATGACCCTTGAGGAAAAGTAATTTATGAAATTTTTTTTTAGTTATGAGATTTCACTTTTTGGCAAGAGGCCTAGTATTTACATTAAAAAGTTATTGTTAAAGAATTGTTCACTTTTAGGAGAATTCATCCAACCTTAGAGTACCTGGTTTTAAACTGTTTGTTCTCCATCTCTATTCTACTCCTCGACCAAGAACAGGCAATTCAGTACGCAGAGAGGGCCAGCTGTTTATCTAAGGTAATACAACTTTTACCTTCAAGTAAATCAGCTTAGTATCTAAGGTAATACAACTGTTACCTTCAAGTAAATCAGCTTAGTATCTAAGGTAATACAACTTTTACCTTCAAGTAAATCAGCTGTTTATCAAAGGTATTACAACTTTTACTTTTAAGTAAATCAGCTTAGTATCTAAGGTAATACAACTTTTACCTTCAAGTAAATCAACTGTTTATCAAAGGTATTACAACTGTTACCTTCAAGTAAATCAACTGTTTATCAAAGGTAATACAACTTTTACCTTCAAGTAAATCAGCTGTTTATCAAAGGTATTACCTTCAAGTAAATCAGCTGTTTATCAAAGGTATTACAACTCTTACCTTCAAGTAAATCAGCTTATTATCTAAGGTAATACAACTGTTACCTTCAAGTAAATTAGCTGTTCATCAAAGATAATACAGCTTAACCCTTGAAGTAAATCAGCTGTTTATCAAAGATAAGACAGTTGTTCCCTTCAAGTAAATCAGCTGATTTTCATAGGTAAGACAGGTGTTCCCTTCAAGTAAATCAGCTGTTAATCAAAGGTTAGACAGTTGTTCCCTTCAAGTAAATCAGCTGTTTATCAAAGGTAAAACAGTTGTTCCCTTCAAGTAAATCAGCTGTCCATCAAGGTGAAGCAGCTGTTTCTTAGAAGAAATCAGCTGTTTAACAAAGTTAGACATCTTTAATTATCAACAAAGAAAGCTGATTTTTCTTCAGACAAACCAGCTCTATTTTCAAGGTGAGACAGCTGTTTTTTTAAAACAGATAGACAAGCCATTTTTTTAAAAGTTATACAGTGGAGAAAAAAAAATTTCCTATAAAATTCAATAAATTGTTTGATTAAATGTTCTTTGTATGTTAATTTATATCTAGAAGCTTACTGGGGGTACAAGCAGTAACACAAAGGACTGGGAGCTGACATGTACAACAATCAAGTAAACATATTATTTCACTTTTAGAACTTATCTTTACATATAAAGGCACGGAGTCTCTCAGCTCAAAAATATGCGGGCTACTTGTCTTTATATATTTAAGAAAAAAAAATGATATTGCCTCAGGAGCGATTGCATACAGTGATAACCAGAAAACTCTGGAATTGGAAGACTACTTTGGGAATCAAGTTTTAATTTTAAAAGTCTAGTGAGCATGAGAGACAGTAATTGTGCAGTGTAAACAGACCCATTTACTAAATTAGTGATTTGAGAAGTGAAGTAAAACTATTTGCTTTGTAACAACATCAAATTGCACAGTATTGCTATAATTTCGTCTTCTTATTCCATTGTTTTCTGGTTTTCACTGTATCTCTTGTTGACATGCTAATAGAGTAAACATACGGATAGGATATGCGATTTAAATACATCTCAACTACAAAAAAAAGTTATATTAGGTAAGCAAGTGCTCCCGTTGCAATATCATAAACTTGGAAAGGAAAATTGTTGTCCAAAGACTGTTGTTTCACTGTTATGGCATGTTTATGTATTAATGGCACTTTTGTAAAGTTCAATTTATTACAGTGAATTTTTATAGTGAAAACGTTTATTGAATAAAATCATATTTTAGAAAACAATTTCTTGCAATTTGGTAGTTTTAAGAAACATTTGTCAACATATCCTTTCACTTTCTAGGCCTTTTACTAGTCATTTTTTGCTCTAAATTACAAGTGCATTTTTATATATTTTCACAGATTTAGAATCAACAGATGAATTAGTTTAAGCAAACAAATGATCATGCAAATGATCACTGAATGCATTATTAAAATATTTCAGAGATCAGTTTGAAGATCTTGAGATCCTGCAGTCTGCTGTAAACTCATGGTGCTTCATCATTTAGCCCTCAGCAGAAGATAACTTAAAGAGAGAAATTGACAAGGAATAAATTTGAGCGGAAACCTCAATTATTTGAATAAGAACTAGGATTAATTACAAACTAATATTTTCTTATTATTACATATATATATTCTTTGATGATTTATTGCAAAGTGATTTTATTATAACTAATCAGTCCTTGATCTTTTGGAGACAATTCACATAAAAACCAGGCAGATTAAATATAGAAACTATCACTAAAGAAATTTTTCTGCGCCATGAACTGAACACTTCAGCGAGTTTCTGTGAACTTACATTACTTAGCAGTAGAGATAAGCATCGTTTTGTGAAAGAACAAATTTTTTATACGAACAATTTTTTTCGTGAACAATGGTCATTCAGAAAAATTTATGAATGATGAGTGAACGAATTGGATCGTTTAGAGATAGTTTTTTAAAAACTTAGTATTAAAAAAACAATTAAGAAGCAATAACTACCGTTTGCAATTTAAAGATTAGTCAGACTGTTAATAAATGATTTCGAAATCGTTTGTTCCAACGAACTTAAAAAAATTATTGGGTTTTTTACAAGACCAACAAAATATTTATCAAACAAACTGATAAAAAAATGATAATTTTTTATAGCGAACAAACAATTTTATTGAACGAATAACCTCAACAAATGAACCATTTAATTTGATGATCGTTCAGTTAGAAAACAAACAAAAAAGATGGAAAATGAACGATGCTTTTAACAAATTAATAAAAAAATTTTCTGAAAGACTGGAAATAATGTGTTGTGAATGAATGAATAAAAAAGCCGAATACGCCCTTCTCTATAACTACCAGTTTACAAATACTTTTGGAATTGGAAGATCTTTACATAACTTACATAACTTCAAATAAATAAATTGTTTAGATTCCCATAAAATTAATTCACATATTAGAATTTGGTGACCTTGGTTTGCTCTTTTAACAAAAAATACGAAAGGTTGAGTTTTTGTAGTGTAATCACCTCAGCAAGGAATGATTTAACTGACAGCATTAGCTTCCATCTTGGTGAAAAAAATGGACTTACATCTCGGGTTCTAACTTTTTTTCATGTATTTAAACTTGTGAATGTAAGTCATATAATTAAATCTGATGTATTATATTTTGAAATTCAAAATTATCTCAAATCTAAAATAAATTAAAATTGTTAAATGCCTGAGTAATGAAATGAAATATAAAATTGAATCTATATAAATGCATGTTTTTTTTTTACCGTAAAAGGAATGATTAAAATGTAAGATGACAAGAGGGGGGACTTTGCAGTAGTTTATTATTTTTAAGATTTAATTGATGCTCTCATGCAAAAAATGTAAATTGGAAATCATAAAGCAAGTTATTTTCACTTTTTTTGATACTTTTAACCCAAATACTTAATATCTCTCCCAATTCAGGGAATAAAACCCTTTTCTCAAAAGAGGGGAAATGACTTTTCAAGAAGAACATGACAATTGTTTTCAACCAACAAAAATACCCCCATCATCTTGCAGCTCAAGATATCCTACAGAAGAAATAGCAAAAGATTTTTGCAAAATAGAATCTTGCAAAAAAAATTGAAATGTGATCTGTCTCTCCTTGATAATGTAGAAAACAAGTCCAGCTAAAGTACACCTGTTAAGTTGTTATAAAAATAGTTCATTGTTAGTTTCAACTTTGTCAAAATTGTTTTTCAGTACAGTTGCAAACCCTGCAACACAGATAATACCAATTGTAACTGATTGATTTTATTTCGCAGTCCTGGAACGCCTCCTTGATTTTCATTTCAAAATTTTAAATTACTGATGATAAAAGCTAAGGCGTAAAATATGATGAAAGTGATGTGAAGATAGATTACAAAATCCTGATCAGTGACCAGGCATGAACTCCCATAAAACTCAAACATGTCAACATTACTTAAAATAACAAAGTTATGCATGCTAATCTGTTTTTCGTTGAGAGCCAAGCAAAAACTTTTTTAACAAAAAAGTTGACAGCCTTTTTAAATTGGAAAAAAACTCATGTAGACTTTAGTTATTTGAGGAAATGACTTGGAATCAAAGATATTGTAATTCTGAAATAAAATGGTATTTTAATTTTGGATTGAGCATAAACTATGCTTTGTTATTAATTCAAAATTTTGCTTCATTGTCAAATGTGGCCCCCTTCCCAGGGACACTCAACTGTTACAAAACTTCATCATTACCAGAAAAGAAATAAAGACGTGTATGTACTAAATTCATGTAACCTCAATGTAAAATTATTATGAAAACGTTGCATTATTTCTTAATTTATATTTTTCGAAATTTGGGTTAGGTTTGTTTCTGTAGATTTCTGTGCCAAAGAATGCGGCTAGGAGAGCTGAGCGATGTGGCCCTCCGATCAAATGTAGATTGGGTTAATGTCAATTTTTTGATTCAAAGTGCAAGTAGAACAAGATTGATTTTACACACTGAAGTGATTTCAAGGGTTTGTATAGCTGAGGCCCTCTTCCAAGGGGGAATCATGAAACTGGTTAATTAAAATTACCTAAAGTTGCACACACTTCTAAATTGTAATTAGGTCTTATTAGTAAGTATTTTAGCTTTTAATTATTGCTTTTAAAGTCTTTTTTTAATCATCGTACTCCAATAAACTAAATGTTTTTGATGATTTGTTTGCTTAAATTGGTGGATTTTCGAAAAAAAATAATTTGTAATATATGAATGATTTGTTTGTAATTAAATTGATTATTTTACGATCCTAGTTAAATGTTGCAACTTTCCGAATTTGTATGGACGCTGCGTTCTTCGGTATGAGAGTCGTTTTTAACAATTTTCTCCTTATAGTCGCAACAGATAGAAGTAAGATTAGTAGTGATAAAAAGCGCTTATTCTTCTCCGTAAGCCTTTACCCCCCTTTCATTTTTCGCGAACACTCCCTTTAATGTTATAACAAAGACTGATTAAATTCTGTTCATTTGTTTCAGGAGAGCTGAGCGGTGTGGCCCTCCGATCAAATGTAGATTGGGTTAATGGCAATTTTTTTATCCATAGTCTGCAACTAGGACAAGATAGGTGCCAGAGATCTGTGTCCACCTCAATGTGTACAAACGTATTGATTTTACACACTGAAGTGATTTCAAGGGTTTGTATAGCTGAGGTTCACTGTAAACATTTTTTTTCCAGACAAATTTTGTGCAGTGTTTATTTGAGAAATGATAGGCCCAATTTTTTCAGCCGTTTTGACTTTTAATGGATAAAAACAAACAGACAAGCGAAATTTTTGTTTAAATTTTTATTGCCTCTGCTGATATCGATTATGAGGGATGGATGAGGACAGTTAGAAAAGAAGTAAGGGGCCAAATTTAAAGATTTTGAGCCGCGGCTTAGATTTCAGCCGCGGCTCAAATATGGTTGGTTCCACTTAAAATCGTATTCAATGTGTCAATATTTAAGCCGGTACTCAATTGAAACCTGTTTTTAGGGGATTTGAGACGCGGCTCAAATTCATTAGATTCAGACTCAAGAGACATCTTCGCCTCATCTGTTCTGCTCAAAGGACATTTTCAACTCATTCTAAACATTTATTGCAAAAACAGGACAAATAGTCTAGTGGTAATTTAAAATTAAAAATGAATGGTATTTACACGGACACAGGGGGGGGGTGCAATTGTTAAAAACGACTCATGCTGAAAAAACCTACGTCCATATTACAAATTCGGAAAGTTGCAACATTCAACTCGGATCGCAAAAAATCTATTTAATTCCAAACAAATCATCGATTATTTTTCAACGCATTCGTATATAGTTGATATTTCATAATATTTTGTATTTTTTATGATCTGAGCTGGGAACTTTTAAATGGTGGATATCGGGATTAAGGCTTAATTCACTCTTTTTCTTAATCTCCAGATTAGCATAATCTTGCAAGATTATCTTAAAAGTGTATGAAAAACGATAAAATTCAAATTAATATTCAATCATCTGAGAAACTGTAGCAGCCAATCAGAGAAAAGCAGGCAACCAATGAGAGAACAGAAATATTCTCATTGGAGAAAACAATTAATGGATATCCAAGGAGAGAGAAAAAGAGTGGATTACGGACTAAAATAAAAAGTTTCCACAGTGGATAGTCGGATCAAGAAGTCAGGATTAAAGTTTATCCATTCTAAAGTTTTCAGCTCTGATAGTTACTTTTGAAAACGTTTATTCCTTTTTTCGAGGATTTTTGATAATGAAGACTCGACATTTTCATTTTTTCCAGGAGTGTTCGAAAATCCAGCGCCAGCGAAATATTAACTACACACGAATGCGTCAAAAAATAATCGTTGACCACTGTTTGTAATATCAGAATGTTGGGTTGATATTAAATTGATTATTCTATGATCCGAGTTGAATGTTGCAACTTTCCGAATTTGTATGGACGCTACGTTCTTCGGTATGAGAGTCGCTTTTAACAAAATTCTCCTTATAGACGCAATAGAAAGAAGTAAGATTAGTAGCGACCAAAAGCGCTTATATTTCTACGTAAGCCTATACCCCCCCTTCATTTTTCGCGAACATTCTCTTTAATGTTATAACAAAGACTGATTAAATTCTGTTCATTTGTTTCCATTAAACCATCTTTTGTACGCCTTTAAATCAACATGGACATAAGAAGATCTGAATGTTAGCAAAATTAAATATTTTTATTTCAAAATGAATTAGAAAATTTAAAACTTTGAAAAAAAGCTGGTCTTTTATAAAAAATCATCAATTGGAAACTAAACTCACTTTAAAAAAGTCAAACCAACTTAAATTAAAATTGTGAAACCGAGTTAAGAATATTCCCTTGGTCTTACCAAGTTTCCTAATAAAAATTTGAGGCAAATCGGTAAAAGGTTTCATGTTTTATGATCGGGCACACAAACAAAATGACAGACAAAAAGAGATTACTAATTATATGTCTCTATAATCATTTATATAACTAGAGCTAATAGTAATCTCTGAATATAACATAAAATAACTAGTTTTACTAAAATATTTTTTACTATTCATATAATTCTGTTTAAGAAGGATATAACTTAATGAAATGCCATTTCAAAATATATAATATAATAAATGTAATAATAATTAATTACATTTAATTTCATCTAAAGAGTACATCAGACCCGTTAATAGTGTTTTTGAAAATATATATTTTGAGATGCGTTGATATTATCTTATTTTATACTATGGGAACATAATCTTTTTAGTTACTAAATCTAACTGCTGATTTTTGAGGAGCGCTGTGTCAGTCCAGGTAGCTGCCATGACAGCTTTGTCTCAACGGAGGGAAAAAATGAGCTTCGTTCTTTTCGCGCTCCCACCCTCCTCCCTTTCACAAGATCTCTTTTAGAAGAGGGGAAAAGACCCTTTCTTCACTTTGGTTCCTCCAGGTTGATTTACCCAGGGCCGGTGAACAGGGTTCACCGNACCTAACCTAGCATATAGGAAGACAGGTAGGTCAACCAGGTCGACCAGCCTACCTGACAGCTATTCTAATGAACGTCAGATGTACCGTCACAGGCTGGCCGACCTAAAGAGGCGGGTATACAGCTCCACCTTGGTAAGGGAGAACTATGCAGATCGGTAGAGAAGTCCTTTCGCCGAATTCAAGTACAGGTAAGGAGGAGAGAGGCCGGATGGAGATGACAGCTACCTGGCCAGAAGTGATCATAGATAAGGTAAGATAATATCAGTGGTAGATACATTGGATTTTAATAGCGCATTTTAAAATTATTCTTAAAAAAATGTTTAAATATGAGAATTAATGGCGCTGACTATTATATTTCAGCATTTGTGATATTTGAATCTGTTTTTGACTCCTGGCTGATTCGATTTCCCACAGTTAACTTTGGGTCTCCGTCACTAAACAATTTAAATTCAAATATATTTATATGGAAAATATTATAAAAAAATATGTTTTATAGAAAGATAATAATTTTTTATGATCCTCTATGAGTAGAGGATCATGAATAGGACATGATCCTCTATGAATAGAGGATCATGAATCGGACATGATCCTCTATGAAAAGAGGATCATGAATCGGACCTGATCCTCTATGAATTAAAGATCATGAATCGGACCTGATCCTCTATGAATAGAGGATCATGAATCGGACATGATCCTCTTTGAATAGAGGATCATGAATCGGACATGATCCTCTATGAATTGAGGATCATGAATCGGACATGATCCTCTATGAATAGAGGATATGAATCGGACATGATCCTCTATGAATTGAGGATCATGAATCGGACATGATCCTCCATAAATTGAGGTCGGACATGATCTTCTATGAATAGAGGATCATGAATCGGACTTGATCCTCTGTAAATTGAGGATCATGAATCGGACATGATCCTCTGTAAATTGAGGATCAAAAATCGGACATGATCCTCTGTAAATTGAGGATTACTTGAAATTACGTTATACAGTGAATCAAATTTTCCTTGAGAAAGGTGTATCAGCTCTTCTTCTTGCTTCAACTGCTTCATACTCCCCTTCTCTCTCTGGACCATACCCTTCACTACCTACAGACCATTCTCTACCCCTAGATCCAGTCAGATGCCTCCCAATACCTCCATAATGCCCTTGCAATTATAGCGTCATGGGCATTGTTTTGCAGAAAGGGGATTTACGCGTAATTTCAAGTGACCCTATGGGAAAAGGGAAATGCACGATTCACAAGGGAAACCTTTCACTGTCGCCGAGTAGAGAGACCTTTCTGTTTAAACGTATCGAAACCAGTTTGAATTCATCTAAAACGCAATTGTTTGCTGTGTACAGTCTGAACTCTAACAGCTTAATTGTTTCTGCGTAACTCGAAAGTAGATTAACTGTTTTACGTTAACTGCATTTTTAAACATTCAAAAGTAACTTTTGATATTTTCTTTAATATATGACAGTTTGCAAACAAAGTGTTTAGCCATTAAAAGCGTTTGAGTAGATTAATAACATCCTTGAACAGTCCAAGGTTTAAAGGGTACCGTTGTGAATCGGGGATTTGCCTCTTTAAATGGAAAGTCACTTGAAATTACGCTTAAGTTTTTTTTATTTCAGAAGGCTCGAGTGGACTTCTCAAACATGGAAAAACTCAATATTCTAGAAGTTTACTGTTACTACATCTGACAGAAGACATAGATCTAAACGATTTGTTAATGTGTTTGTTAAGGATCCAAGTTTAAGATAAATAAGAGCCAATTTTGATAACTCAGGAGGGCCAGACAATTGAAAAAAAGCCTAGCCTCAATAGCCCTACTCCCACATGTATACGCGCCTGATCTGAAATATACAGTTTAGGTTAATTTATATCGTGGGAATTCATCAGAAATATATAAAACATTTAGTTAGAACAATAACGGTATAAACTTAATATTAGCATTTTATTAAGCATAATTACATCACATGTAATGATGTAATGTTAAAAATTACAAAGTAATTAAGAAAAGATCAAGTTCATCTTTGAATCTTTGATAGCATTTTACCTCGTAGCTTCTCTAGTTTTTATTTTACGCACTAGTACTTGAAAAAAAAAATCTTCATTTCTGAATCTTTGATAGCATTTTAATATCTGATGATAAAAGCGTGTATAACTATAAAAAAGATAAATGCCGACATTTTGTCAGAGCAAAATTTTTCATCTTTAACCATCCAGAAACCTTGCTTTGGGTCATGTGAGTTGCCACGAAAAATTCGGACCCGATCGGTTCAGCCGTTGCGACGTTTATTAAAAACAAACAAAGTGTATATATAAAGATATTTGTTGTACATAACCATTTGTGTTATTTTATACCTTTAAAAGATGGTTTGGTGTTTGTGTAGTTTCATCTAGTTTGTACTGAACAGGTAGAGTTGTGTAGTTATTGTAATCTTCATCTAAACATATTGAACAGGTAAAAAAGTTTAGTAATTGTAATCTTCATCTAAAACATATTTTAGAATTGTTGTATTTGATAAATCTAAAACTTTTTTCTTAGTAATTGTAATCTTCATCTAAAACATATTTTAGAATTGTTGTATTTGATAAATCTAAAACTTTTTTCTTTTGAAAACTATGACAACTAAATATTAAGGTTTTAAAGTGCCAAAAACGAATAACGAGGCGTAATACATATTACATATATATATGTAAATTGTCCATATATATGTAAATTGTACATATATATGTACATTGTACATATATACGCACATTGTACAATGTACAAAGTGATCCAAGCAAAAATCTGTATTTTGGAAATATCCACTTTTTAACTTGAAATCTATAAACGAGATTATCGATATCTAGAGGTGCAAAAAGTCTAAAATGTCGATATCTAGAGGTGCAAAAAGTCTAAAATGTCGATATCTAGAGGTGCAAAAATTCTAAAATGTCGATATCTAGAGGTGCAAAAATTCTAAAATGTCGACGTCTAGAGGTGCAGCAACTCTAAAATGTCGATATCTAGAGGTGCAAAAACTCTAAAATGTCGATATCTAGAGGTACAAAAATTCTAAAATGTCGATATCTAGAGGTGCAAAAACTCTAAAATGTCGATATCTAGAGGTACAAAAATTCTAAAATGTCGATATCTAGAGGTGCAAAAACTCTGTAAGTGAATAAGTTCAGTAAAAGTAAAGTAAACCCAAGGGTGTTAAAACACTTCACAGGACCACAATAGCTGCCTGGATCTCTGTGAATATTACCCATAACGATCACTCTACCCAGGGGGGGGGGGAACCCGTCCCCTCCCCTTATAAACCTCTTCCTACCTCTTCTCTCATTGGTTTGTAGAATACTTGAATCTGTGTCCTCAGATTCACAATATATTGTATTCTCCTACAAAAGTTTTGACTTAAATGTAAATTCAAAAATAAGAATTTAAACATGTAAAATAAAAATTTAAACATGTAAAATAGAATTTAAACATGTAAAATAAAAATTTAAACGTGTAAAATAAAAATTTAAACATGTAAAATAAAAATTTAAACATGTAAAATAAAAACTTTAACATGTAAAATACAAACTTTAACATGTAAAATAAAAATTTAAACATGTAAAATAAAAGAGATTTTACTACTTTGAATCTAGCACTAATTCTCAGTTTGAAATATAATATTAAGGAGTTCATTTCGAGTGTAAAGACCTGATAAAAGTTTGTCTGCCGATTTGAAAGTCTGAAAATGAGTTCCACAAAAATAAATTTTGCTTTAAAATTAATTATATATCTGTACTTTTACATTATGCAAAATTGAACTCTGAAACCTTTCAAATTCTAAATTTGTTAAATTTCCTAGATCATTTAGGAGCCTCTATAAATCCAAAAGAGACTATAAATGTTCAAAAAACATAAAAAAGATTCGATAAACACAATCCATTTAATTTAGAAATATTCCCTCAAACTATTAAAATCTAAAAAGTTTTTAAATCTATGCCCGAACTGAAAATTTTCTAATCTTTATATCTTTTCAACCTCAGGCCTCTAGAGTCTAGACCCAATACTGGGGACATGAGCTAGTAAGTAAGTCATGTGAACCCATGTTGTATATAGTACTGTATACTTCATGCACCTCTTTGAAGCATAAAGTCTAACCGCGTCAACCTTGTTGCACCGGCTAGTCCTGTCCATAGAGCTAGTAACAGTACAAACTGGAGCGGAAAGATTGACCCGGCTCGGAAATTCAAATGTAGTATGGCTGCCCGTGACTTTGTTACTCCTAAGCGGGGAAATAATGCCAAACAATCCAATCCAAGAATAAAGCCAAACAATTTAAACTCAAAGCCAAGAGGATTTTGAACCCTTAGTATGGGTGCAGCTGTGTTTATGACAGCCTAGACCTGCAAGGGTATTGAACCCTTTCTTATCTGGAGATATCAAGTTGGTTCTGTTTAAAGGGCGCAGCTAGGAGAGGATCGATGTCGGAGAAAGGAGCGAAACAGTATTAATCTAGCAAGGGAAGAAAGCAGTTTTGTTGATGCCCCAAGAGCTGGGCAGTTCTCACAAAGTATCTGACCAGACCGGTCGAATGGAAATATATTCGCCTCAAGCGAATGTTGTGTGGTTTTAGATCAACTTAAGTTGGTCCAACACTAAACGTTTGTATCGTTATAATGTAAATATATTGTTTTGTGCAACCTAGTGCTTCATTATTCCACTCAATCGTTGCTTTTTACGACTGAGTTCTTTTTAAGTCTGTAGTAAGTGACCTAAAAGTGACAGACTTGATATTTCAACTTTGGATAATTTAATCCAACCGAATTCATAGTTTTAAATATTTATGGTCTACGACATTGGGTTGCAAAGATATAGAGATTAGTAATCAAAGTTTGTGACAAAGACTCAATTCCTTTGCTTACAATATGCCTGTCTGTTGAACTATCGTCTCTAAAATCATAGGGATCATTTAACCGTTCCTGAAAAAGAATAACTTTACAAGAATAAAATGTGAACAATTTAATCAAAGGGACTGTAGACATACTTTAAAAAGACTTTCATTTTTAAGGTGCAATGCCCACAACAGTCACAAAGATTCAACAGAGACTGAGATATTTTTATCTTTTTTAGCAGAAAACTGATTATTTGATAGTTGTTAAAAGTTTTGATGACCTAAACACATACCTGCATATTCCTTGTAAGTTTATCCTGGGGATAAAATTCCAAAACTTCCTAAAAAAATCAGATTTTAATAAAGATTAAATATTTTTTAGCAACTTCGGCTTTGAATGAAGATAATGGAAAATTTTCTATTTCAACATTTTCAAACTAAAGTTGTAGTGCAGCTAGATAACAAGAAAAAGATTTTATTCCAAAAAAATTAAATCTTTCTTTAGAAAGTGAGCTTAGAGGGCAGATAACAAACATCACACCAAAGTACATCACGTCACATCAAAGTACATCACGTCACATCAAAGTATATCACGTCACACCAAAGTACACGACGTCACATCATAGTACATCAGGTCACACCAAAGTACACGATGTCACATTAAAGTACAACAGGTCACACCAAAGTACATCACGTCACATCAAAGTACATCACGTCACATCAAAGTGCATGACGTCACATTAAAGTACAACAGGTCACACCAAAGTACACGACGTCACATCAAAGTACATCAGGTCACACCAAACTATATTACTTCACATCAATGTAAAATTCATGTTTTTCTAGAGAGGCCTTAAATCAAAACAGTGGGACCCAATAAAATGGTGAAAATGAGAGACGACATTTAATCAATCTAACAAGTAGCAATTGAAAACCAATTTTATAGTTAAGTTTTCACTGCACACTTTTTGTGTTTCATGTTTATTAGACATTTTAAAATCATAACAGTAGATTTTTATTCCAACACTTTTTGGGTCCCTCTGTGCAATCTTTTTCAAAAAACTTAAAATTTCAAATTTTCAAATTTCAAATTTCAAACAAAAAAAAATACTTTTTTCATACTTCAAATAAAAGCTGGAAGAGCTATGAAGTTACAATGTTGCACCAGCATTTTGCATGAATTTAAATCTTATCCCTCTGTTTAGATTATAGTGTTGTGAGAACATGATCTCAACTGCTTTAACCGTTAAAATCAATTTTAATTATATAATTTCGCAATAGAAAAAATTCCGAGATTTGATCGTAACAACCCGATCATGTCCTAGGGACAAAAAAATCTCTAAAAACTACCTGACAGGGCTGTTGAACAAGATTTTGATGCATTCCCATTTTACAAAACAATTCATAAACCTTAAGAGAAAAAAAATCAATAAAACAATTATTAAATCAATCAATAAATCAACCATTATTTCAATCAATTAATTAATCAGTTAATCAATAAATTAATAGATGTATTAAACATTTAAGCATTTTTAAATTAAAAAGGTAATCCATTTCTGTTTTAAAAGCTGAAAATTCCAAATATCTTTAATTTTTTTTTTTTTTAAATGCACTCACCATGATCCAAGCGATGATAACCACGAAAATTATTCCAATCGGTATGAGAGTGTACACTTTGTACACATCAACTTGGAGAATTATTAACAATATGGCCGCCACCAGTCCTTCAGAAGCAGGAACAGTTTAAGTAAGAAAAAGTACATTCAAGTAAGAAATGCTGTTTTTTTTTCAGAAATTGGAATCAAAACTGCAAAGGAATTGATTTTTTATCACAAACTTAAATTTTCTAATCCCTATATCTTTACAACCTTATGGTGTAAACCTTTGATATTTCAAACTTAGACTATTTAATCTAACTGAATTTATAGTTTGAAATATCAAAGGCTTACAACTTCCAGTTCCAAAGATATAGAAATTAGATAATAGAGTTCGTGGTAAAAACTCAATTTCTTTTCATTTATTTTCTAATTTACAATTTGTTACAAAATGTTTATAAAGTTTCACAAAATGGCCGTGCGGGCATTATGGAAGAGGAAAAGCAAACAGGTGAATAACTATTATTTACTGAGAAAATGAGAGATGCTATTACACAATAAGTTTAATTCTCCCCTCCCCCCCCTAGCTCATTTTGTTATAGTTTTCAATCCTCATGCACTGTTAAAAGAAACCCTAAGATTTTGTTCTTAATTTTAAACAACCCCAAAACATTTTAAAATTAAAACGAAGGCACCATGTTTTGATTATTCCATTCCTGCAATCACCACCAAGACGTGGAAAACCAGCCAATGAACGAGAAACCACCTGAACGGATAGTTTTGATATTTGGTTATGGATATGGATATCAATTAAGTTGTGAATATGTATATGAGTTTGGTTATGGATATTAATATGAGTTTAGTGATGGATTTGGATATGAGTTTGGTTATGGATAGATAGATTGGATATTGATATTTTTGGATATTTAGATGGTTATTAAACAATAGGTTTAATACATTTTAGCCGTTAATTATTTTGAGTCCATAATTATGGATACGGATACAGATTTGGAAATTTTCACATGAAAATTAAATATTTTCACAGAAAAGGGATATTGTGGACAATAGACATGATGTAGATATGGAACATGTTTACGGATTTGAATATTTTTTATAGAATATTGGAATGTACACGCCTATGTTTATGGGCTATGAAACTATAATACTGTTTGAAATAAACAACACAATACATAGAACTGAAATAGCAATGATATGTGGTATGTAAATTTACTTATGGTTAATAACCATTTGGTTATAGCTATGGATTCGGCTATGAATATCACTTTGTATATGGCTTTGGTTATGAAACAATAACTTTTGAAGTATACAAAAAAATATACATAAATATGTAAATATGAACAATACCTTCTAAAGTACACAACACCATAAATAAGTGCTAAATTAGTAAAAATACCCAGAAGCCCTCCAACAACAACTAATATTATCTCAATCCTAAACAAAATAAATGTTAAAAAAGATCTGTTCTTCAATTTTTGCATATACCTTTGCAACCTGATAATTCAAACGATAGCTGTATGATCTAGAATAATTAATATGTCTGTGACTTAAAGTGGCATAATAAAAGAATTAGAGAATTAGTTCGTTAAACGGATTAATTCTAAATCTTCTAAAATGAAAAATATTTGATTGAGAATATATTTAATGCATGTTTCCGGGTCAACAAGTGGCGCCGCGCGTACACAATTCCTGCCATTGACATTTAGAAGATAATTCGATCAATCAAAATCTGCTGCTATGAATTATCTCAGAATATCTAACCAAGCTTGTTAAGAACAATATTAATGCATGACTGCCCCCTCAATTTATTGATTCATAAAACGGTACTTACGCGAATTCACAAGGTTTTCAAACAAATTTTAAAATGAATTATTGAAGTATATCTTTTTGAAAACTAATGTCCCCCAATAAACATGGATGTAAAGGGTCTCTGTGGAAACACCNAGCCTTCAACCAGAATACGGCCATGAGCCTGAAGGACAGACAGAACCATGGAAGATTTTAAGTAATTTCAAAGTATTTTAGTTTGTCTTTTTTTACGATGAGACTGTAAAGACGACCCGAGACTCTCAAAATATGACGATATCTAGGTTGAATTGAATCTTATGCCTTGAATATAGTCTTTTCAGGGATTATTTAATAATTTGGCAAAGAGCGAAACATGTTTACAGTTGCAGGGAGTTATGAATATAAGGAAACATGTTTACAGTTGCAGAGAGTTATGAATATAAGGAAACATGTTTACAGTTGCAGGGAGTTATGCATATAAGGAAACAAGACAGTGTTGATTTCGAACAATCGTTTCTTCTCATGTATTGCTGCTTTGAAACAATGTTAACATCGAAGCTTATATGCTTAAATATGTATAACGATTAGGAGAATAAAATTGTGAATTGTGGGTATTCAAAATTTAAGAAGAACCATTTGATAGTCTTTCTCTCTTATCGTTGTTGAATGTTTTAAAAATTGCGCAATAGCTGATTTAATTCTTCTTATTTCTTTTTTTTATTAGAAAATTCATTCATAAATTTAGCAAGAATATTTGTTTATATTTGGTAGTTTTATCACGCTATGGGAGGGCTTTATTCAACATCAGAATTTTGTTTTATGAATTTTTTGGTCGTTATTGTAAACTGAGGAAATACAGGGTTACCCTAAAAGGATGATGAAGTTTAAAGATAATGATTGACAGATTATTATTTATCGTGACCTGAGATGGAATTTAAAGAATTTGAGCCGCGGTTTAAATCCGCCAAAACCCGGTTTAAATTAAGCGCCAGCTTAAATCTTGAAACATTTGATACAAATTTAAGTGGAACCAACCATATTTAAGCCGCGGCTTAAATTTAAACCGCCGCTCAAATTCTTTAAATTCGGCCACTTAAAACATAAGCTAAAACATTTCCGAAGATCTGGAGTCCGCATCTCAGAATTTGAGTCGAGACAAATCAGTCAAGGGGTTTATGAGTTATAATCGGGAATACCAACAAGCTCAAAGAGATTATTACTTTATAAAGGTACTGACTCAAGTGCCCGGCGTTGCCCGTAAAATAAAATAATTGAATTTTGATAAAAAAAATTATTTTAAAAAATCTATTTTTTTTATCCTATGTAACCTTGGCCGGGTTTACTCAAAAATGTCAGCCTATTTAGTCCAGCCGTTTGACTAGCTATAGCTAACACACACACACACATATATATATAAATATAAAGAGGTTTATTATGAAGATTCAAAATATGAATGCCTGTCACAACAACAAAAAACGTGCTCAGGGGATTTAAAAAAAGGTTTATTGAATTATAAACCAGCAACACCCCCCCCCCTCCTCTTTCTAAGCATAAACTTGTTTATAAAGAATTGTAAAAGTAAAGGTATTACGTGTATGCTATACTATATAAGCTCTTCTTCTCATTTTCAGGTTCTGAACCCTCAGTGTCATCTGCTCCTCTTGCTGTAGTATTGAAGTAATCACCCAACTTTCCCCTAAATATATTTATTATAAATGGTTATCAAGACAAAATATCTAATATATTAACGAAATTACATTTTCAGTTGTAAATGAGACAAAACAATAAAATTTGGTTGTTAACAATTATATTTGTTATTTTTTATGTTTCTTTTTCTCTTTTAATAGTTGAGAGAGTGGTCGGACTGTATTCTCTTTAAAATAGAGAGATTTCACCCAAGAGCTGGTGTTTGGAGTATAATCCCTTTAACAGAGAGAGATTTCACCCAATAGTTGGTGTTTGGAGTATAATCCCTTTAAAATAGAGAGAATTCACCATATAGTTGGTATTTGGAATATAATCCATTTAAAAAAGACATCTCACCCAATAGCTGGTGTTTGGAATATAATCCTTTTAAAAGAGAGATCTTCTCACCATATAGATAGTTGGTGTTTGAAGTATAATCCCTTTAAAAGAGAGAGAATTCACCCAATAGCTGGTGTTTGGAGTATAATGCCTTTAAAAGAGAGATAATTCATCCAATAGCTAGTGTTTGGAATATAATCCCTTTAAAAGAGACATCTCACCTAATAGTTGGTGCTTGGACGATCCCGTAAGCAGTAAGGGCTGCCACTCCTAGACACGCCCCCACCACCCCAACCACTAGAACCCAACCAGTCAGAGAGAAACAACAGCCCGCCTTCCGCTACAAATATACAAAACCTAATTTTAAATCCTGATACATCTTTGCAGCCAGCTGACTCTTGATATTTAAAAATTATGAATTCTGCATCAAGAAAGACTAGAAAACTAAAAAGACCAGAAAATTGTGGAATTTTTTAAATTCAGTTTACGATGAAATATTAACTTTTTTCTGTTCATTCCTCTGAGTTCAGTCATAAAATCTCTAATGTATTTAGATTCTCGTACTTCAAGTAAACTTCTTCCGTGGTCCCAAACCTTCTCTAGAACGCTAACTTTTAGATGGTAGAGTTCATGTCCAGGAAGGTTAAAATGTTCTCCTGTAGGCTAGTTTGTATGGAGATTTCTAATGTAACTAATATGTTCTCTCACTCTTTCATCTAAAGATTTTTTGTCTGTCCTATATATTGTAGTTTACACTGTTCACATGTAATACAGTAAACTACATTTCTGGTCTGACAGTTGAAAGTTCCATTAATCTCAATCTTCTAACTGGTCTTACAGGATTGTAGAACTTTTTTATCGTCCTTTTTTTCTTTAAGGTATGTCGCGAAGCATTTGCTTTTTTTGTTGAATTTAAAAAAAAAGAGCCCTGAGCACTCCTAGGCACACTTCAGTTCCAACAATAATAAATTGAAAAATTCTGCGTGAGTACTTTTTCTTAAAGGGAGTGACCGGCTATGTAAGGTAGTTGAACTGGGTATGCAGTGTTGTGGGAAACTTCTTTCGGATTCATTTGAAACATGTTAAATCCTGAGTTTGAGCGCAAATTCGACGTTCAAAACTCCTACTTTGGGGGTGGATACGTTTTCAGAATTAGTTTTTTGAATTATTAAATAACGACGACAAAAAATGTAAAAAAGTTCTACAATAAACTACAGACGTCATGTATAGGAACATGTTGAGAAAATAAAAATTAATCTTATCATCGAAAATAAGTAATTTTGTTCAATTATTAGTTTCTATTTTCTCATTATTCTGGTTTCTCATTATTCACAAAGATTTTCTGCAGATTTTCTAGAATTATTATCGAAAAGACGACATTTGAAGAATTAGAAGAAATCTGCGAATAAATTCAAAGAAAATGAGAAATTCAATATAATAATAAAAACGAAATAATCGATTTTAGCATTGATTTATTGACAAATTTATTTTTCGTGGTCGTTATTTAATAATTAAAAAAAACTAATTCTGAAAAGTAGGAGGAGAATCCGAAAGAAGTTTTACACAATACTGCATACTCAGTTCAACTACCTTCCATAAACAGTCACTCCCTTTAAAAAAAAAGAAAGAACGAAGGTGACATTTATTCCAACATTTTTTGGTTGTCACTGTAATTTTACCATTTAATGAAATAAAGATTATTTTGTAAATACTGTTATTCTGATAAAATTCTCATTTTTTTTGATAGTTTAATAAAACTAGAATTCTAAAGATTTTGATTTGATCTGACCTTGGGTGGAGTTATCCATGGTTCCGTATCCATATCAATTCATTTCCTCTGCAATTAAATAGATAAGTAATTTCCTAATTAAAGAGATAATTAAAGAAGAGTTCATTAATTTTAATTAAAACATGTCCAGAAGGATTTATTACAACTCTGTTATCTTTACAGTAATTTTCATTTTTATCTGAATTTGAATAATTACAATAACATCTTAATTCAAACTATAGTAGTTAAAATCTTTAATTTAACATTTATAGTTAAAAAAGCACAATTTTATAATTACAATCATTTGAATTATTCTAAATATCTACAGGGTGTCCCAAAAAACATGGGAATTCAGTGACGAATTCGATATCGTCTTTTCAAATAATTCTTTGATTTAGTATAGTGATGCCTATACTGAGAAAGCTGTAATCTGTAAGAGTTTCGTCTGCTATGTTTACATTTTGTTTGTTTAATATTTTTCACGTAAAACTAACCTCCACGAAGTACATTTTGTCTTTATCGGAATATTTTCAGTCATATTTTGATATCTCATTTAAAATCCGCCCAAAAAAGCGTAGTATACACTTATATGAAATAAGTATCTCATCAAAAAAGTAAAAAATAGCAAAAATGAAAAATCTACATTAATGGGTGAAAATAGGGTTTAAAGTTAAGAATGGAATTTTAACCAGCACCTCTAGTTTGCCGTGAGGTGGGTGCTTTTGTCGAGCTTATCTCTTCATTATCAAGAGGTGTTAAAATGATAAAATAACAGTTAAATGTATGAAAACAAATAACAATTAAAATGGTAAAAATATACTAAAGTGTTAATACAAACATCAACATGTCTGACCTACATCTGTGCATTGTGTACGTAGTTACTATATTATGCATAATCTGGATATGGTTCAAAGGATAATAACTAATCATTAATCAATCTGTTTTTGCTAGTTATATTTAGGGCTGACCATACATTAGTGCTTTTTCATAATAATAAATAAATATTTAGAAAACAATAAGATTTTAATTATGTTTAAAATGGTTTAAGAAATAGTTCTATGCAATATGTATGAAGCTACATTGTATATTCTTATCATTATCTTATTAATGAAATTGAGTTTGCCACAAACTCTGATTTTCTAACCCCTATATCTTTGTGACCTGATGCCATAGATATTTCAAACTTTGAATTCTGTTTGATCAAATATCACAGGTTTACATCATAGGGTTGAAAAGATATAGGGATTAGAACATTTGAATTTGTTGCTAAAACTCAATTCTTTTCTTGTAAATACTTTAGCACGCACAAATGATTAGACTGTTCAGTATTTATATTATCTGTTCCCTTATGTTAATAACTTCCTTCAAGCGTAAACTTGTCAATTTCGCCGGCGTACCATTGAGAATTGGTCATGCCACTCTATGATTGGGGGCGTCAAAAATAAAGAATTAAAACAAGATAGAAATATTGCAATACAAATTCTGTATTTTAAACTTCACTTTTAAAAATTTAAAATTGTTTAATTTAAGTACTGCTGTTAAGTGCTGGTTTCTCACTGTGTCGTGAAAACTCAAATTATGCGTATTAACTGTGTGTCCACTGTCCAGGATTAGGATAAACTGACGCAAGAGGCAACCACAATGTTGTTAAAACGCAGGATCAGGATTGACGCATAATATTTAACTGCGTGAACATTGCACATGAGACATTTAATAATGGTCAAACTTTTAGAAATATTAAATATATACTGGTAATATTGTTTTCAGTGAATTTTTAACATGCTTAAATTTACATACTTACCTTCTATGTCTGTCTGTCTGTTTCTCTGAATAATAATAATTATAATAGTAACCTCCTAGCGCTTCTAATTTTGAATTTCCGTAGATATATGAAAATGACTAACTTATCAGAGCTGACAACTTTAGAATGAAATATCCTTAATCACGATTGCTTAATCTGATTATCCAATGTACACACTTTTGATTTTCTTTTTAATCCTCTTTTTGGATATTTCTACTGTATAAAAGTTACGTTTGATAGCAATTACTGATACAAAGCTGTATTGATTGAACTATGATCCGATTGAATTAAAGTCAGCTGTTCATAAGCCGGCTTTTAGAGCATTTAACAAATATAAATTTAATCATGTTAATATGAAATTATTAAAAAAAAACATATTTTAGGACTATTGTCATTTTAAAAGTTTGTCTTAATAAACATTAATCCAAAACTTACGTTCGTTTAATCGATATTTAGTTCAATTGATATGACACCAGTGATTAAGACTGGTTTTTCAAAAGTTAAAGAGTACATCTTAATATAATACGCTGAAAATGAATGAAAAAATATGAGATTTAAATCTAACGTTCAATTTACTTTTGTTTGTCGTGCCGTAAAATACGTATAGCCTTTGTTTGTTTTTAATATTTGTGACAGAAACAATCTCAAGAACTGACGAGGGTCAACCCAGACCGAAATATATTTTCAATAAATGTGGAACTAACATCTACATTTTTACTCTACACTCTACAGAGGTTTGGTCCATCACCATCACAGAATCTTAAACGTAAGGAGCCTTTAAAAGTCCTATATATATTTATTTTGTATTTTAATAAAAATTGTCCAATGATTTTGTGGCAAATATGTATTTAGTATTATGGAACATATCTTAATCATGAAATATGTATTTAGTATTATGGAACATATCTTAATATGTATTTAGTATTATGGAACATATCTTAATNCAACCAATCATGATAAGGTTAAGGGATTTTAGACTATAGAGTAGCTTGTTCAATTCACAAATTACAATTGCTCCTTTAAATCTCTCTAGCTAAACTATCTCATTAACAATGAGAATAATTCTTGTTTTTTATCTTTGAAAGTGTGTTGTTAAAGATTGATGGGTTACCTTTGTGAATCAAACATGCCACTGTATAAATGGTTAAAGAATATAAAGATTCGAAGGTTAAAAAAAAAATTCCTCATTGACTCTCATTATATTTGAATAAATCTGCACAATGCGTCTTGTATAATCTGAACAATAGCCTGCTCTGTATATGTTTGTCCGGAAATGAGCCATATACCGGATATAGAACTATTATTCAGTTTATTTATTCAATAACGTGTTTCTTTTTCCCGGATTTTCATCTATTCATTCATCTTCCTTGTTTTGCCAATTCTTCAGAAATCTCTTAATAAAAAGTAACTTCTGCATATCTGAAGTATCAAAAATAGGCTTTTAGAGCGCTTTGCGCCCCCTTTCCTGTAAATAATTTTAGCTTTAAACTGTTGATCTGAAAGTCAGCCATTTTAAATCATTTTCAAATTTTGGCAAATTTTTCCTTTCGAATTGGCGCGTTTTCTAAAAATTTAAATCCAATTTTGATGTTCCATAAACCAATTCCTATGGTCATGTGAGGACCCACGCAAAATTTGGGTTTGATCGGTTCAGCTGTTTTGACAGACAAGCAAAGTATATATATAAATGTAACTAAAGTGTTTTCAAGCTGACGAAGAATTGTTCTAATTAAGGTTATGTGAGTTGACACAAAAAATATTGGCCCGTTGTTCAGGCATTTTGATGTTTATTGGCGTTTCTATGTCAATGTGCTAAGTAGGTAGCCATTGTTGATTAAAGGGCCCTGGCAAATTAGCAAATAAAAATCCCTCCCCCTTCCTATATTATATCTCACCAACACTGATAACTAGACAACTCTGAAACCTAGTCATCAAATTTGTCTTCAGCCTCGACTTTGAAGTGTTGAAACGCCTTGGTCTTTGGTTTTACCTCGCCAACTCACACATACTTTTTTGTAGGCCTAGACATACATATTTTAAAAATGCAATGCGTCTGTTTAAGTTTAAGTTTAAAAGGAGGAATTAGGAAATACTGATCGATTTTTGTGTGACACCGTGCACATCTTGGTTTGCATTGGGCACATTTGCTTTGACACCTGCAGGAAAAATTACATTTAAGCGAAATAAGTTGAAATTATATTTATCTATATATAACTAAATATCTATATAACAGGACAGATAATATATTTCATTACCATTGTTTACGGTCAGGGTTAGATCTATTAGCATAGTTCAGCGTCTATATAACTATCCTGCAATATTTAAAGCTGTAATGTTTATTTTACTGGGTTTTTGTATGTGTTTGTTTTTGTGTCTGTTATCTCTCTATCTAATAATCGTCAAAACAGCAAATCCGATTGGTTCCAATTTTTTTATGATTACCCATATATGGCCGGATATGGTCGGTCGAAATGTTGTATAGGAAATCGATCTATAACCCTTTTGATCTGAACTTTGGACTTTGATCTAAAAAAAATGTTTAGATCAAATTCCAATTTTCAATTCAAGCTAAGATAATATCAATACCACTAAAATATGTTCAAGGTGTAAAAATTCAGAGAAACTCCTGGCTATTGGATTTTTTTATTCATTCGCTCTTTGGAAAGATTTGTTACTCCTTTATTTCGGTTTCTCATTCTTGCAATTGTTATTTATGAATTAGATATCCTTAACTGGCTATCTTTATTTGACGTGGTTTCTCTTTAAAAACAAAAGAGAACTTATGAGAACAACCCTATCCTCCACATAATTGATCAGAGAAAGGTGAATCGGTATTTAAACAACATAGGATATTTACATTTGTTGTCAAAACGATATATCTCAAGTTATAAAAAGTATTTTCCATTAATAGCATTGTCAACTCAAAGCTTAATACAGTGGTCTTCCTATTCCATGCAGTTGTATAGGTGCCATTGCAGATTAAACATTCTTGCTTTATCGTTGCTAAGTTTTAAATCAAATCAAATTTTATATTTTTTGCAGTAATAATCAATTATAACAGATATCAACGAAACAGTAGTACATGATTAAATATATTATTGCATTGTACTTGTATCTACTGAGTTGGGAACTTTTGAATGGTGGATATCGGGATTAATGTTTGATCCACTCTTTTTCTTAATCTCGAGATTAAATAATGATTGTTCTCCTCTTGTTATTAATCTCCAGATTAATCCGATCGGGATTAAAGATATCCCATTCTAAAGTTTTCAGCTCTGTTCAAATAATTGTCAATTTGTAATTGTAAACTCGTTCTGTACTA